TAAAAAATTAATAATAGAGAAACTAAAAAATAGTTTTTCAGCTATTTTTTGACATTTTTATAGTGTTCTCTTCTTTATATTTTATTATTATTTTTTCCTTATCCAAAGTCGTAAAGTAATATTCTCTCTAGTTTTATGTATAAAGCATGTAAAACACAAAATTGATCTAATTTACAAGGTGACGTGTCAATATATTAGATAATTTTTTATTAGTAGAATTTTAATAATGATCTCAAGACCTGAGATGTTTTATGATATGTTTTTGTAAGAAGACAGAGATAAATATTAGTACAATTTAAATATTTTAATTTTTTTCCGAACAAGTTAATCTATATAACAATTTGCAGTCCTTTACTAGTCTACGTCAAAGGCGAAAGGAGCAACCTACAGTACCTCTCTCTCTCTCTCCCCCTCCCTCTCCGATGACAATCCTGCGAGTTGCTGCTTTCTCAGATACTTTATAGGTTTTAGGTTTATCGCCAGATCATATATGTAAATATAACCACGCCACGTATCACCGTCTATAACACGCTAGGTGCCTCCTGTTTAATTGTTTTCCCAGTCACCTTTCGGCCAATTCTCTCTTTACTTGATTGTTAATTCACTACGCTGCTCTTGATCTGTTCTTTTATTTATTTCTATGTCATCCCCAACGTAATGCATAATAATTAAAAATTGCAAATGAGTTAATTACTCTAATCTCCTTAAATTTCATCCAACATTCATGGGCTGTCAAAGAACTATGCGTCGCCTGGATTCATTACAATGTAATGCATGCTTGCTTCCTTTTATTTTCTGCACTCCTAATATCTCAGGCTATGCTTAGCTTTGAATTATTTGCTCGTTCGGTTTGAATAAAGGAAAAATGATAATTAGAGGTACTGTAAGAATATTAATGATTATTATAAATTTTAAATTATTAAAATTTTAATAATAAACCATAATCCTTATTACTTAAAATTTAAAAACATATAAATACTCAGTTGAAAAATTAACAAAATATACTTAAAATTATTTTTAATATCAGTAATAAATTTACTAGAGTTGGTCGTTGATCTTAATTTTGTGTTGTTAATATACAAATAAACCACTTGAAAAATTATTAAAATATACTTAAAATTATTTATGACGTGAATTGAGAATTTAAGATAATCAGTTGAGAATCGCAAGCCAATCACTTGTAATTTTTGTCTGTATCAATATATGGATAAATTGTTTAGAAAATTTACAAAATATATTTAGAATTGCTTTATAATATCAATTGAGAATTTATAAAAGTCAATTACAAATTATAAGCCAATGGTATATAATTTCTCACTATCATTTGAAAAATCAACAAAAGATACTTGAAAATCTTTATAGCATTAGTTGAAAATTTTTAACAATCCATTATGAATCTCAAGCCAATTAATAAAAGATAACTTATTACAAGTAAGAACTATGATCTCACACTGAGATTTCAACAATTCATGGTCTACAATTGTCATTAATATTCTTATAGGATCCTTAATTGTTATTTTCTCATATATAATTTTCTATAAAAAAAAGGATAGTGATAGATAAATTCATTTGAAATAGAAAAATAATAATTTGATCCTATGAAATATGATAATAAAAGTGAGGTCCCAAGGAATTTTTTTGATATTAAATTCATGTGTGAGATTATTTTAATACCCCACTACAACTAATTTTATATAATTTACAAGTTTGATATAAGTATTTACAAGTTTAGTCCATCAATGACTAAGATGATTTAGGAAATTAGAACTTTCTATCAACATTTTTCTCTAACTTGCAAAGAACAACTAATTTTATATAGTTTATAAGTTTAGTATAAATATTTACAAGTTTAATTTTATCAATACTAAAATTATTTAAAAAATTATAACTTTTTATTGGCAAAGTTCAACTACTTTTACATCATTTACAAGTTTAGTATATGTATTTATAAGTTTAATTTTACCAATGATTATAAAGATTTAGAAAATTATAACTTTCTTTTTAAGTTATAAAAAGATACCAAAGTAATTTCATACAGAAATTTAATCTCAAATTTCTTTTAAATTTTATTATTATTATCATTTTTTTTTTCAAGATCAAATTATTATTTCCTTATTTCAAAAGGATTTATACGTCATTTTTCAAAAAAAAAAAAAAACAGAACCGATGCGTCTGATTATCGCTTGAGATATCCATCGATACTTTTTCGCTCTTGTAAATGATTCCAGAGAGCTTTCAAACCGAGATTGGTATAGTTAGCAGGAGTTAATCAAACCCAAGGCAACCAATCGAATCAAAGTTTAAAGAAATTTCGATATAGAGAGAGAGAGAGAGGAAAAGAGGCGAAAAACGCAGCACTCATTTTGAACCGAACCAAGGGGATATGGGTAGAAGATATTTATGTGCGTGATGTTGTGGTGGGTCTTTGGAAGAAGGAAAGGGATTTGTGTTCCACCAACTCCACCTTCAGAACTTATCCATTCACCGATACCCCTCATCCTCCATTTCTCCTGTTATATGTGTGTGAATCATTGTTTCTCTTTTTTTCTTCTCCTTTTCTTTCATCTTTGTCCTCACCTATTACACGCACACACACATTCGAATCCCAAACATGCAAACGTGTTAACTAAATGTTGAGTACATCTCAGATATATATGTGTAAGACCAACATTAGTAATAACAATCTCATATAATAGGATTCTGTTTAATCTAGACGGATGGTAATAATATCCTTTATTTTTTGGATATATATTGAAAGATGGAATAAAGAAAATGATTTCCAAAACTCTGCACACGTATTCCAACTTCAATGATATGCCTTATCCGTTCCTCGTCTACCAGCCTGCATATATTCGCGGGAAATATATCTTGCTGAGATTTTTTTTTTTTTAATTAGACTTGATGATTGAGTAACATTAGAGTTCATGATTGAATCAAATGATATAAAATTGTTTTGATGAGAGATGGAAAAAACAAAAAGGAAGAGGAAGAAGAGTAAAGGTTGAAAAGGTAGCTGATTAGTGAAGAGCTGAAGTGGATGGAATACCAAATCCAATGGACTAGGACGAAGAAGAAGGGTTTAAAGATCACTACCGTTCCACACGTTGCAGCATTGAAAGGTGCGTTTGGATTTCAGTTGGGTATAATAGATTATAAAAATAATTGATTAAGTGATAGATTTTAATCATAATTGATTATGTTATAACGCAATCTGTTTGGATATTATTTTTCTAAAATTAATTTTAACAGAATTAAAGATGTTTGGATAATTTAATTAGAATCAATTTTAGTTATATAAATTACTATATAATTTAATTTTTAAATACCAAATATCAATTTTTTGAAGATGCAAAGTTCAAATTTTATTAAGAAAAAAAAAGGAGAAAAATTTGGTTTTATTTTTATTAAATTATGTGCATTTTTGTAATTTTTGCTTGGGCCTGTCTTTGTAATTTTCCCCAATATTTTAGACAAGCTTCTCTGCAGAAGCTCTGATTCTCAGCTTCCGAAAATAATCAATTTTTGGCCTGAAAATCGATTTTCCAAAAAAGTGGGTGTTTGGATAATTTTTGGAGAATCAATTTTTTGGATCAAAAATCGATTATATTTACTATTCAAACACACTGGAAATCATGATAACAACGCATATCTGATTCTAACACGTCCTTCGGACTTAATCAACCTATTGTATTAGACCAACGTGCCTAGCTAGCTACTTCCAAAAAAGTCAACTAAATTTCGATCAATTTTCACCGCGAGAAAAAAAAAAGAAAGAAACTCTGAATGATTGAAATTTCCTTTCCTGCTAGAAGGTCAAGAGAATCAACGTTATTCTCGAAACAACATGCGTCCAAAGTGGAAAAGAGAAGATCCACAACAAGGAAAGCTAGATTTTTCCATCCCTTTTGGGAAAATAATATTGTGATTAATGTTCAAAATATACAATTTTCTTCCTTTCCGATAAATATTGCTGATTAAGCGCGAGCACGGGTCTCTCCCTAACAATTAAATTGAAATTAAATTTGCCTTTGTCACAAGCCAATGTGAACAATTGAATTAAAAAACCTCTGATATCGGTTTTTCTCAAAAAAAAAAAAATTGTTTATCATGCACCAAATTTTAACTCATGCATGGATCCTTGCGTGTCACCTACAATTTATTTTCTCCTCTTCGCCAAAACCAAGATTCCAGTGCATTTACTATGGGTACTTGCAAATTGCTAATACAAAAAGATGTGTGTGTGTGTGTGTGAGTATAAGAGCTAGCATCGGGCTCTTTTTATTTTCCCGGGAAAAATTAGAAGAATAAAGCAAAGCATGTGAGTCCCTCTTGGTTTGTGGGGAAGTGCAGAATATAATTTCAACTAAAAAGGAGAATATGGAAAAATATTATATTCTCGAACTTTCCACTTGGCTCCCATACAAACACGGCCTGCGCCTGCTTGGTATCATCTTTAATATCCCCTTAGGCGTTTCGATTTTCAATCTAACACGGCGTTGTAATTTTCTTGTATTTTTTAAATGTTAAATCCAGGAGAATATAACAATTTTTCTATTTTCTTAAACTCCAGTCATTCTAAAAAACTGAAAAATGTTGCATTCGAAGACACGTATTATTCAAAGAAATATTTTTTGAGAAATAATTATTATCACTTATATTTTCTACAATCATCACCGACGATTATTAAAATTATTATTTACTTTATCTCCGTCATAAGGCCAAGAAAGATATTTAAAAATTATTATTCACGTTTTTAACATAATCTCGAGAAACAACAAGAGTAATGCAAAAATATTTAAAACGAAATTGATTCATGACTTCATGTGATGCAAGGAGCTAAGAGTGAGAAGAGGGAAGGATTAGGATAGGAGGCGGAGGCAGTTTGACCAGTGGGCGGGACGTTCCCTGGGGGTGCGTTCAGGGGTCCCACACTCGATGGAGAAAAATGGCAATCCTGAGCTTCAGCCCCTCCCCTCTCTTTAATCTCTGAAGCAAGCTCTATTTTAATATTCAGGAAAGTTGAAGCCCAACAAACCATCTTCACATCTTATTATACTGTCTTCTTTTGCATAACCCCCTCTTTTTTATAATTAAATAAATTATGAACTGTGAATGCAAACAAATGCTTGTGATACGACTCTTTACTTTCCCTCTTCCTATCTTCTTTGTCATATAACGCCTCTCTCCCTCTCCCCCTCGCCCACACATACTACACATACAAACCCAAGCCCAGGCTGCTCTGTATTCTGCGTCTGCTTTCACAGCTCTTTTTTCCTTTTGAATGCCAATAATTTGCTTCGGAATATGAGAAGGCCGTTCCGATATTCCCACAAATGCGACTACTTCGATGCCTTGCCAGACGATCTCGTGGTTTCCGTTCTCTCCAAGCTCAGCTCCACTGCTTCCTCTCCTTCCCATTTCATCAACGTTCTCCTAACGTAACTTCACATGCTCTCAAATACACCTTCCATTTCTTTCTTTCTTTCTTTCTTTCTCTCCATATTTTTCTTTTTTGATTATCTCCTATTTACAGATGCAAAAGACTGAACCGACTGGCTCTCCATCGTCTCGTATTAGCCAGAGCGGGTCCTAGAGTATTTACCTTGAAGGCGAGAAACTGGTCGGAATCCACTCATCGATTTCTCAAACTCTGTGTTAACGCTGGGAACGTCCACGCTTGCTACACTCTTGGAATGGTGAGTATATTTATAATTCATATCTAAATATACCTGTTACTATCTTTTTGCAGAGCAAGAGCCAAGGAAAAGGGCATCTGCTGAATTTTTCTTTTGGTTTTTACGGTTGCAGATCCGTTTTTATTGTTTGCAAAGTCGAAAGAGCGGGCTGGCTCTTATGGCCAAGGCAGCTATGAAGTCTCACGCGTCGGCGCTTTACTCCCTTGCCGTGATACAGTTCAACGGCAGCGGGGGCTCGAAGCGCGATAAGGATCTTCGAGCCGGCGTGGCTTTATGCGCACGAGCATCTCTCCTCGGTCACATCGATGCGCTTCGTGAGTTAGGCCATTGCCTCCAAGACGGCTATGGCGTGCGGCAGAACATCGACGAGGGACGGCGTTTGCTCGTTCAAGCCAACGCGCGTGAGCTTGCCTACGTTATAAGCTCCGTCTCGCAATCGTCTTCGTCTCCCTCCTGCTCCTCCTCTCTGCTGACGTGGCATACTCACCGGTATCAGAACAGCCCATGCCCGGCGGGTTCGATTTGTTCGCTGAGCAATCCGGAGGTCCACCAGCCGAACTTGTTTCTGAGGGAGTGGTTCGAGTCGGGTCGTGGAGTGCGAGCGGAGGGTCTGAGACTGTGCGCGCACATTGGATGCGGTCGTCCGGAGACGCGACCGCACGAGTTTCGCCGGTGCTCTGTTTGCGGCAAGGTGAACTATTGCTCTCGTGGTTGTCAATCGCTCGACTGGAAATTACGACACAAGATGGAATGCTCGCCGGTTGAACTGCGGATTGAGGATAACGGTGTCGTTGGTGGAGGAGGAGGAGGAGAGGCTGACGGAGAGGGTGGTGCCGACGTGGCAAATAACGTGGCCGTCGGATGAGGGAGATGAATCTCCCAGCCTAATTACAGGGTACAGTTTTCCTTTCCCAACAGACTGGGGCAATGCCCAGTTTTCTGGAGTTTTTGAGTTCGTTTGAGAAGTTGTCGTAATCCTCACAGTAAATATTAGAAATTTGTTAGATATTCTGGAGTTTATTTTGCCCTCCCGGATGTGTCATAAATACAGGTATATTAATAATTGAAATAAATTACATTTCTTAGCACATGTATACTACGATATTGCATGTATTTTGGCGTAAAGCTAAAGCAATGTAAGACTGAAACATGATTTTGACCAAAATCAAGGAGTTACCATATACTCCTCTCGCCTTATGTAGAGGGCAGTGGGAGGGGAAAAAAATTTAATCCTATTCATAAAATATTTATTAATTTTTAATTTTTTTATATTTGTATTCTTATGAAATACTTTGAATGAAAATAATAATAATAAAAGTTAATAATATTTATTAAGGATAAAAGTAAAAACTTATTAAATTTTAATGTAAAGTTAATGAAGTTTAAATTTTTTTTTAATTTTAACAAAACATGTTAAAAATAATTTATAAATAGAATTAAAAATAATAGGGCAAGGTGTGATAATCTTAGAGACCAATAGCATATATTAGGGACAATTCTTTCTGAAATATGAGGAAATAAAAGAAATTAAGAAGATAATTAAACGACGTTATTCAATAATTAAGAATTAAAACCAAACAGTTTAATTGATTTGCTAAGGAGGCCCTGAAGGAATATGAAGATTGATAGAACTTGTAGTTAGGAAGTACGTAATTTTACGTGGAAATGTTGTATTATGCGGACTTCAAAAAGAAGGAAAAAAGAAAAAAGAGGAGCGGGCGGATGTGGAAAGGATTAAAAGGGAAGAGTACGAAGTAGAAAATCCAAGAGGAGATTGGCGTTTGTGTTTCGTTCAATTTATGGAGCTGGGGAACGAGCATATGCCCATTTGCCATTTTGGTTGGAGCTGCACTCTCACACCAAAATCTCCTCCTCATTGGGCTAATGCGTTCCCCCATGACTTAACCCACAACTCGTTTGTCTCCTCTTCTTGTCCTTTCAACGTCTTGCCCTCTTCCTCCCATTTTAGTTTTATTTTCTAATTATTTATTTCAATTAAAGACTTCTTTTTCTATGCCCAAACACTTCAATAGTAGGATCTTCTTTGGTTGCCATTTTCAAACTTATGACACTCCCAGGCCACGTCTCTTGCAGCTGTCGTTTTTTCTTGTTTTTCATTTCTCTTCCAAAAATATTTACCTGAACATGTCAACACAACACCGAATCGTTTTCTTTCTTTCTTTTTTCCTTGTGAATATTTAAAAGGGAGAATAACAGTTAAGTTTTAAAATATTAAATTAATAATAGTTAAATCTTCAATTTTTTTAAAAAAAATAAGTTAAAAATATCAATATAAATTATTACAAATTCAGAAGTTTTAATTGTAAATAAATATTTATGTATCAAATATAACTCTTAAATTGTAATAAAAAATTTTATTTGTAACTGTTTGAATTTATATTATAATTTATTTTGTAAAATTTTTTTATTGAGAACCTAACTACATTAATTAATTAATTTAGTATCTAAATCATTCTCCCTATTTAAAATCGGGCTTATCACGTTGTTGGTGTGGTTGTGAAGCCCCACCACCACATTTTACAAAATAGTCTCCGCTCCACAAGTTGTTTACAGTCCAATAAATATTAATAAAATTGATAAGGCCTCACGTTTGTTGTTGTGGCTTAAGGTCCATAAGTGCAATCTTTTCACAAAAAAGGAGGCTTGTTTTTGTCTAAAAAAATTAAAAATCCTATGAGGCTGGGAAATGGAGCACGTCCTTTTTCACATTCAATTTCTTTTTTTTTTCTTTCCTTGGCATTGAGATTTTCATTCTCAGCAACATGATGAGTAATACATGTTGAATTCAAAAAACGATTATAAAGCACGATGAATTGATAATCCCACATGATTATTGTTATTTAAAAAAAAAAAGCCTTGACAAAGAGTAAGATGATTTTATTTTCGGACAATTTTGTCAAACAAAAATTTCCTGTTTTTTTTTTATTCCCAAGAAGAAATAAATTTGAGGCTAAACCCATGGGCTAAAAAAGTTCAATTGATTTGGGGGTCACATCTCAGATCCAAGAACCAACTTTTTTCTTCCCAAATTGCTTCCGTCACTCCGTACAAGCCCCATTTTTGTCGATAAAAAAATAATAATTACGTCCAAAAGCCGAAGGAAATCCTCCTCCCTCTAATACGCATCCACGTGTCACGTCGTTAACTTTGTTATCTTATCTGATACAGATAAGAGGCCATGGCGCTTCCTTCTATTGCAATATAGCACACCCACTCTACAGCGCCATTAAACTAAAACATCCCTTCTTCAACCAACCCCCTCCCTCCCTCTAAAACTGAGACACAATGGCGTCTCTTCAAGCCTCACTGCGATCCAATCACATTCATCCCACGCAAATCCCCAGAAGCTTCCTCACTCAAAACCCTCTGCTCAAGCTCTCATTCTCCGGTACCAACTTCCCTTCCCTCAAACTGAAATTCCCGGGCACCGCCACCAGCCGCCGATCCAATGGCGCCCTCGGGGCTAAGATGTCGGCAACCGCCGCCGCCAGCTACGCCCTCGCCCTTGCCGACGTCGCCAAAGCCAACAATACCCTCGACGACACCGCCTCCGACATCGAGAAGATCGAGGAAGTCTTCTCCGACCCGCAGGTGTTCGGCTTTTTCTCCAACCCAACCATCGATCTCGAGAACAAGCGCAAGGTAGTGGAGGAAATCGCGGCCTCCTCGAGCTTGCAGCCCCACACTCTCAACTTCCTCAACATTCTAGTGGACGCCAAGAGGATCGATCTGATCAAGGATATAGCGAAGGAGTATGAGTTCGTCTATAACGACGTAACGAATACGGAGCCAGCGATAGTGAGTTCGGTTGTGAAATTGGAATCGGAGCAGTTGTCGCAGATAGCGAAGCAGGTGCAGAAGCTGACAGGGGCGAAGAATGTGAAGATTAAGTCCGTGATCGATCCGAGTTTGGTGGCCGGATTCACCGTCAGGTATGGGAATTCTGGATCGAAGTTGATTGACATGAGCGTGAAGAAGCAACTCGAGGACATCGCAGCTCAGCTTGATCTGGGTGACATCACACTCACTGTATAAGCCAATTTAGCTACTGTTTATGGTTTAATTCAATTGCGCTTACCTTTTCCCCCTTCTTGTAGTTACATGCGTGTGTTTGTGGAAACAATTTCTGGGTTTTAAATGGTGAGATTTTGCTGCATATATTACTCACTGCGCGATGGAACTGATGCGAAATTAGCTCCCTGTAATTTTATGACCATATACTGGAATATGAATGTTTTCACAATCTCTGTAACGGGTCCCATCTTTAATGATCATTTACTTTGGTTTCACCAATTAACTATAGTGAGACTGTGATTCGCATATAGGAACACCCATCCCGTGAGTTTTGTGCTTGCATGCTTCTCCCCGACACAAGTTTGTCTAAAAAATGCTGAATTAATTAATATAAGAACAATATGATTGGAATTATATGTTAATCGTTTAATTTATTTTTTTAAATCTTGAATATTGGTGGAAAAGGAACCCAAAGAAGTGTGGTGGTGGTGATGTGAGGCGTGAGCCTCCGTGTTGACAAACAATATGCTGAACCCAGACAATATTCAATGGGCCCGGAGGTAATAGTGTCATTAGTTTTAAATTGAAGGTTGGCACGATGGACCTACGTGCCATTCACACTTCACTTCACAGTTAAATGTGATGTGATTAAGCAAAGCATGAACAAAAACAAAAATATCAACCTACGTGCAAGGATTTGGTGTAATCATATGGCATTGCTTTTGGGGACTATGCATAATAAACAATAAAATTTATTTACAGCAAAGGATTTAAAGATTTCGAGACTGTTTGTGCATTACATAAGATTTTAGAACGATTAGATTAGATTGTTTTTGTGGGACTCTACAATAATCGTATATGTACGCCACTTTGGAGATCGGGGATGTCACCATTAGAAGCGTTCAAAAATTGATGTGCTTTGTTACTGCAAACTGAGACAGCGCCTGAAGGCCAAATATATAAAAATTTAAAGACAGCCTATTCCTTGTTATATTTCTCATTCATTTTCAAAGTCTCAAAGCCACGACGAAAACAATCACGTAGAAACCCAAGCGCCGTATTCTCCAATACTTCTTTTTCACAGAACTGGATAGATCATTAGGCAATGGTTTCCGCCAATCAATCTTGACTTAAGTTCACGTTTGAAATATTGGCTAACTGAGCTGCCAATGTTGTTTAGTTAGTCCAAGGTGGGTTATTTTGGACCCATTGGCTGAAAGCCTGAAAGGCCGCAGACGTTGCATGGTATTTTTTTTTAATCTTATTTTTAAGTTATTTTTAGCATTTTCATTAAAACCAAAAAATCTTAAATTTCATTTAAAATAAAAATATTCTAACATTTAATAAACTTACTTACATTTAATATGGACAAAATGATTAAAATGAACACACTAATCATTAAATTGTTTTATAAATAGAACTAAATCAAATATTCTCTTCATCCTATAAATAGAATTAGAGGATTAATTTTCCAAATTTTCTGTAAAAGAGTCATGTTTTAAATTAGAAAAGATATTAATAATTAAATTATCATTTGATTAAATGTTAAATCATAATATAATTATAATTTAATCTTAAAGTCAATGACAATCCAAAATCTCCGAAAATTTATAAAATTATGAATTGATTTTTTGCATTAAATTTTTGAAAATGAGGCACCCAAAACTCCACTTTCCAAACAGAATTGGACTAATATATGAGACACTTTTTGATATCGAAAATATAGTTATAATAATAGCCAAGTTAAATGATGAGATATCCAACACCTTTCAAATCTCAAGAAATATTGTTCAGATATTACGTGGCAAAAGAAGAGAGAGGGGGGGGGGGGGGGCGATACACTTCATTGGAGAGATTACGCCAGTTAAGAACTAAATGACTTTATGTGATATTCAACACAAATGTTTAATCACAAATTTAGATATTCAACATATTTATATTTACTTTAGATTTAATTATCAATAACACATTCGTTGGGATCTTCTTATCCGCCAGAACCATTGGGTTTGATTGTTAGTTTCCAAACTGAGGCAGGGTTTCAGCGTTCCCTCCTTCTCCACGAGAATTAGCTGAGGCGTGAATTGAAGAAGAACACTGTAGAACGGAGCATACAAGAAGGGACAGAACTATTCATTTTTTTATACCCCTTCTAGTCAAACTCGAACGATTCACGGAATCCGAACGGCATAGCAAGCTAGATAGTCTACATTTTACTTCACTCGTTCATCTGAAAATTTCTTTTAAACATGGGAAAGCATCCTCTTTCGTTCAAGTTCAATATGATTCTGCTATTGTCGTGCTTGGCCAACTTGAGTATCGCTTTCGCTCACTTTAATGGCTTCGGTGAGCAGCCTCTCTCCAAGATTGCCATTCACAAGACTGTTGTTTCTCTTCACAATAGTGCCTCTCTTAGAGCTTTTCCCTCGATTCTCGGCATAAAGGTAACGATTAATCAGTAATAACTAATCTTACAAGCAATAAGTATTTCGACGTTTCCTTACCTTCTTGGGTTCAAGTCAATTAGGCTAGCCATTGCTTCTCTTTAATTTCTAGTAATTATCTTGACGGTACGATAACTCCTAAGTTAACACAGATCAGATGATAGAGTCAATTTTGATGCATCTTTGGTTATATTGGATTTGTTTTTTCGCAAAACTATTGCCTTTGTTTCATTCGAATTTCCCACGTTTTTGGTTGTGGGATGTTTTAGTTAAATACTTGAATACGTATGGGCAGATTTTGTGATACTTCTTTTGATGTATATGATTGTAGGGTGAGGATACCGAGTGGGTGACTGTAGATCTTGATTATTCTAATCCATCACCAGATGACTGGGTGGGAGTTTTTTCTCCAGCAAAGTTCAAGTAATTCACTTTTTCATGGACTCACTAATCATTTCAATAATTAGACTTTCTTAATGCTGTCACATGGTTGTAAATGATTGAGTTCAGCAATGGGAAGATTAGCGTTGAAAAGAAATAAAAGAAAAGTTGCTTTTCATGTGGCAGCTCATCAACCTGTCCACCGATCAATGATCCCAAAGAACAGACTCCATACATATGCTCTGCACCAATAAAGGTGGGTACCATCCACGTCTATGCGATTAACTAAAGCTAAGAGATTGATTTTGACCACAGTGCATTACTCACACACTCACATGATTGATTTGAATCGTTGTGCCAGTACAAGTTCGCAAATGAGACCGACACCAACTATTCAAAGACCGGAAAATCTTCCTTGAAATTCCAATTGATCAATCAACGTGCGGATTTCTCATTCGTCCTATTTTCAGGGGGACTATCAAATGTACGTCCAGGTTTCCTCATCTGTTTCTTACATTTGTAATCTCCATTCTGCTCTGACTATGTTTTATTTTGTGCAGCATGTTCAACAAAATTAGTGCAGTGTAATAATTGTTCTTAATACAAGCCTATCTTCATTAGAATAGGTTCGTGATTCTATCATACGCTAATCGGATTTTTTTCCTTTTGACAACTGTAGCCCAAACTTGTTGCCATTTCCAATTTCATATCATTCGCCAATCCTAAAGCACCTTTATATCCCCGCCTCGCTCAAGGAAAGTCTTGGGATGAAGTAAGTTTATCCTCATGCTTTAAGGTCCTTATTATTAAGTTCATTGCCTTTTATTTTGCCCATTAGGTGCTGATTTCATGTTAAAGTTCCTCTATATGAAGGCATTATAAAGTCTTAAAACTACAAGCAAGTCAAAATACAACATCGATAATTCTGATACTGCACTGATCTGAATTGTTGAGCCCACTCCCGACCAAAGATGAAACTTTCTGAAAGGAGCCTATAAATTTTTTTGGTAAAACTAGTTGAGTTTGACAGAGTATTATAGGATTCGGAATTAATTCTATTTTGTTTTACTAAGCATCCAAGAATTTCTATTTGGGCTATGCAGTAGTTTCAGCATTGTGAACCTAAACAGGCTAAACAATTTCTTGGGATTTTTTTATCTTCTGCAGATGACCATTACCTGGACAAGTGGTTATGACATAAGTGAAGCTGTACCTTTTGTTCAATGGGGTCTTAAGGGAAAACAGTTATCAAAATCTCCTGCTGGAACATTGACATTTGGTCGTAACAGCATGTGCGGTAAGTTTAATCAACTTGTTCAATGAGTTGGTTATCACGCGCATGAAGTTGATCTACTTAGTATTCTTGGAAAAACTTTGAATGATATCTATCACTACATGGACATTTAGTCATAGACGGCATTTCTGTACGTGCTACTTGATCCACCAAGTATTCTTGAGAAACTTCGTGTAATCAACTGAATTTTCCTTGCATCCTTAGTCACCTTTGTGATCAAGAGAAGAATAAAATCCATTTATAAATGGATTCATGACTATATGTGGGAAGATTTAAAAGTCCTAGTTAATTCATTGCTTCTATTTTATTCCCTCGAAAAGGGATCCCTCTCTTGATTAATAGGGGTTGGATGATGGCTAGTGTAGCTGTGCTACCTAACAAGTTTTTCTTGCTACTCTGCAGGTTCACCAGCACGAACTGTTGGCTGGCGTGACCCTGGTTTCATACACACAAGTTTTCTTAAAAATCTTTGGCCAAATTCTTGGTATGGTTTAAAATACTCGTCTGTGCTTATAGCATTATTAGAAATCAGGAATATTCTGATTTTCTTTTCCAAAAAACCTTTTCAGGTACGCATACCGTTTGGGACATCTTTTGTCTAATGGAAAATACGTTTGGAGCAAGAGCTATTCATTCAAGTCATCTCCTTATCCTGGACAGAACTCTCTGCAACGTGTTATCATATTTGGTGACATGGGGAAGGTAGTAATAAAATATAGATAAAATTAACAGAAAGAACCTATTATTCTCAAATCTCAGGACATAACCATTCTTCATAGTTTTTCATTTATAGCAATTTTAAACATGATAAACTAGAAAAGGCATTTACTTCTTCTTCTTGTTTTTTTTTTTTTTTTTTGTGTGGTTTATATCAGGCAGAGCGTGATGGTTCGAATGAGTATAGCAACTATCAGCCAGGTTCGCTCAACACGACTGACCAGCTTATCAAGGATTTAGACAATATTGATATCGTTTTCCACATAGGAGATATAACATACGCAAATGGATACATCTCGCAGTGGGACCAATTCACAGCTCAAGTGGAACCTATTGCATCAAAAGTGCCATATATGATAGCAAGGCTTGTCCAGTTGTCATTACCTTCCTCCACTGACATGTAAATAAGATGCTTTTATCTAAAGAGCTGAAGAATATTGTTTATCTCATGTTGCAGTGGCAATCACGAACGCGATTGGCCCAACTCAGGATCTTTCTATGACACCATGGATTCTGGTGGGGAATGTGGAGTTTTGGCTGAAACCATGTTCTTTGTTCCTACAGAAAACAGAGCAAAATTTTGGTAAATTTCATTAATCTAGTTTCTTGCAAAATATGATTCAGTTTGTTTAATTAATTTGAATTTAACTTGATAGAGGTATACATACTCTTTAAACAACAATCGAAGTCATATATCGAACATAGGCAGGTATGCTACAGATTATGGCATGTTTCGCTTCTGCATAGCTGACACTGAACATGACTGGAGAGAAGGATCAGAGCAGTACAAATTCATTGAGCATTGCCTTGCAACAGCAGACAGGCAAAAACAGCCCTGGTTGATCTTTGCTGCGCATCGAGTGCTTGGCTATTCGTCTGATTATTATTATGCCTTAGAGGGCTCATTTGAAGAGCCCATGGGAAGGGAAAGTTTGCAGAAGCTTTGGCAGAAATACAAAGTAGATATTGCATTTTATGGTCATGTCCATAACTACGAAAGAACGTGCCCCATTTATCAGGTAAGCACAATAGCCAGAAGAGAGAGAGAGAGAGAGAGAGAGAGAAGGATTTTTGAAATCAAACCAGCTTGCAGTTATTTTCTTCACTCTAAGATGGCTCAAGATGCATTCTATCTTTTGTTTTCCCAACTTGTTTACAGTGAGTACTAACCTGTGGTCAAATGCTCATTCATTTTGTGTATTCTCATAGACTTAGTAATGGGTTTTGATTATCTTCATGTCATTTCTCTGACAATGCAAATATACATTTGCAGAATCAATGTATGAATACAGAAAGGTCACATTATTCTGGCATTGTGAATGGAACTATTCATGTTGTTGTTGGAGGAGGAGGAAGCCACTTATCTAAATTCAGCCAAGTAACCCCAAGTTGGAGCCTCTACAAAGACTTTGACTTTGGGTTTGTGAAACTGACGGCATTCAATCACTCTTCACTCCTCTATGAGTATAAGAAAAGCAATGATGGAAAAGTCTACGATTCTTTCACCATTTCTAGGGATTACAGAGATGTCTTAGCATGCGTGCATGATAGCTGTGAACCTTCCACCTTAGCTACTTAATTTGTCTTCTTACATATTCATGCTCTCATGGCTTAAATATTTTTAAAAATATTTTTCAAGTATTATATTTTGGTGTGAAGTAAATGAAGTTTATCATTTCCTCTTTTACGTAAGATGGAGGTTTGGCCTGTACAGTTCCTGTTTTACATCGATGACCATTAAGCATATCATATACAATGACATCAGTAATAATTAAAGCCAGTGAACAAAATATCATCCAATAACACCATATACAACTCCTGTTAATATCATATACATTGATTACATGCTTGTGTTACTGTTCCCAAAGCCGAAATGACGTGATGCACCCCTTTGCTTTATCTACATGAACCGAAGATCTCTAAAATTTAATGCTCTTATTTAGCGTTAATAATAACAGCAAAATAAACAGGATAACACTAACTTCATACTAGGAGCAATGAATGAGAAAATTTACAGCAATGTTATAGGTCTGAAAAGTTCAATTTGAGAACATTTAATTAGTGTGGAATATGGAATTTCCATGCAATGTTGCAAACCTATGACTCAGTCTTGCAAATTTTCACATATCATCGAGAAAAAAAATAAATATATCTTCCACCCTTATTTTGTCGGACATAATATCTAAAATTTAGAATCCTATTCAACTAAATTACATTGTAATTTTACCAACAAAGAAATTTTGTAATAGGACATATTATCGCCGGATAAATACTATAGAATTAGAAGTAATAAAATTATGTTCTGGTCCCCTGAAACAAAAAAAAAAAAAAAACGTTTCCGAAAATTAAATCATGTCTCCATTTGTAAGTCTCGTGTTAATCAAATGTAATAGACTATTCTCCGTTGCAAATTACTACCCTTATGCCAGATGGAGGAAGCCTGAAACTGGCTGGGGATACCAGAAAAATTTACAATTTACTATTATAATAAATTGAGTATCTAGGGTAGGATGATTGCTAGAAAGCCCGCAGCAGTACAATCCAAACCAAAGACAATATACACCAGCAACAAAGAAACCCTGATCACCATCATATGCTGATATGCAACTGCCCACCGCCTGGGTTAACAATCATATCTACTGCTCCTTCGTATCTGAACATAAGTGGCAGCTAGCAAATTTGTAGGATCCTCCACTGTGGAAGCCCTGGTCACAGAAGCAGCACAATGAATTTCACATCTCTCTTTGTAGTCAATTCTCACTGGTCGCTACCAGGTATCAGCCATCCATCTCAACATCACAAGGTTTGGCTCCTTGATCAACTGCTAAGCTGACAGATGCCAGCAGATCATCAACTCTCAGCGGAGAATGCCGAACACTGTACTGGAACATAACCTGCAAGTGCAAATTGAATCAACATTTTAACCAAAACCTCCATCAATAATATTGGAAAATGAAAGATGTGATTGTAAATCAACGGTGGTTCTTAAATGCTTTCCTCTGATCAACAACAGTATACATTAATTTAGTGAGCTGACGAAAATATACAAATAAGCACACTATGCGATTAGAGGCCTGTAAGGCAGGCTGGTTGGTAAACAAGCCTAAGCTGATGATCCGGTACAGCAGGCCTATACTTTCATGTCACGTGGCAACTTAGAGTGTGCAGACAAGCGTTGAGTTATTTGTTGCAGAGTTCACAACTCACGGGTGCAACTGTTTTACAATTTTTTGGATTTCTGGTAGAATACAAACTTAATAAAAAGTAATTAACTGAAACTGAATTAGGTTATGGTTGTGGAGAGAAGATTTTAAATTCTCATAATTGGTTTTCAAATTCAATACTTCAGTAATATTCCCCTAAAATTACTCTCAGTAACATTATTACATCTTCCGTATCAATTTGCCATCCATCAGGAAGAAACTATCAGATACAATAATAACAAGACGTGGAATCTACTTAAAAGTGCCATCAGAAGTAGCCCCTTACAAACCTTGGAGAAACTATCTGCAGAAGCTCGAGCTCGATTGGCCTTGCCAAGATAATGTAGATCAGCTTTCTCAAGCTTCCCACCAAGAAAAACCAATCCTCCCTCTCCAACTGCAAATCGTAGTAGACATCCTACTTTCAATCCTGACTGAATTGAAGAAACTTAAATCAGAAATCAATTGGAGAAGAAGATGATGATGATGATGGGGAATGTTGGTCCCAATGATGTCCAGGGTGCATAATTCATTGCTCTGTTTCATGACAATGTGAGGATACTTCCAGAACAAGAGAACCAGAATAGTAGACTTTATGAGGGAAACATCACTGAACAAGAGTATTTCATACAACAGTATTTTCATACAAAGAGAAACAACACTCCAATGGCAATCAAAGCAAATCTTACAGATGGTACATATAAAAAACAGTATTTTCACAAACTAAAGGTGTCAACACAAAACTCCCAAGAAAAAACACAGAAGAAATAGACTCAATTGTCAGCATTCCAGAGATCAGAAGCTCTCCCAAGTCCATCCTTCCAAAATTTGCGCTCCCCATCTCCAATAATTCCTCTCCATATCTTCTCTAGCTACCACTCCCAGAACCCCAAGGTAGTTACTATTTTATAGTTCTCCCTCCTACCCTCTACCCCTCTCTTCCCTACTACCCCATCCCACATCCACTTCCTTTGAATTCTCTGAAGTATTCCCTCTCTGGTTCAGGCTCCTTTCCTTTCTTTTCCTGTCCCCCGCCCCCACCCTCCCCGCCCCCAAAAAAAATGCCCCTCCGAAATTGCTTAATAGAATTGACAGCAGCAGGCCCATCATTATCTATTAACACTATCCTATCTTGAGGTAGCACCATTTTTTAGCCACCTTTCTTTGTTGGGTGCCTGCCCTTATTCTCACTCACTTTGCTAGAAATCTTCAAGAAGACATTAGGCATAGCAGTTCAATGGGTTGGCACTTGTAACAATAAGTCAGTTGTCAAATAATATTCATAAAGAAGCCTCTTCCAAACATACCTGTTCTATAAAGCTTCCATCCAAGCAGCCAAATACTGTCGGAGGATCATCTGATGTAATCAGTTTCCCATCTTCTTGTAGCTCCAAAACCACCTGGTTTAGAAACCAAGCACAACTGATTAAGCAAATTTCAATACATCATATGCATACTTTTCACCTTCACGGGGTCCTATGAGAAAATAAATGAGCATTTTAGATCCATGTGCACATTGGCTTCGGAGTTTCAGTTAGTTTCAAATTAATTTAACTCAGCACAATCAAGTTCCCACCTCATGGCTTGCTGGATCAGTATAATGTTTTCTCACATACACATAAGATTTCTATTCTACTTTTTCAAACTGCTAAGCAAGAACACAAAAGGTTCATCTCAAGAAAACAAATATAGCGTGTTTTGCATTGATGATGTTGCAGCAGTAATTGTGTGCTTTGGCTTTCAAATTCAACGTTGAAAGAGAATAGATGGTTGCAATAAAAATGAAGCAAACAAAACCAAATAGCCAATTAAAAACATTGACTTTAGAGGCACAGTCATAGCTGTTCATAGTCATACACAGCTCAATCACATGAAGGCTAAGGATCCATAAAAGAGCATTTATTGAAATAAATAAACAGTAACAAAAGGAAACTTTTGACAACACCTGCTGTTGGCTTGGAACCTGTCCTTCGTTATTTGTGTCAATAACATATTGACTACATTTTTCATCCTTCCAAACCAAAGCTAATGGTGTAATTCCTGTCTGGTAATGAGCATGCCTAGGAAAGACAATACTAAAATCAAGTCAGAAAATGTGAAAATAACAAGCAATCTTAGAAACTGATAGCCTATTAGCAATGAATGCTATCTTTGTGCTAGGAGCATCATGCAACTGTCTCCAGTTCCAACGAAAAGACCAATCAATACAATCTTACACAGAGATGAACCTAAGGAGGAAAAGTCATAGCCCATAAGACTAATCCATAAATTTAGAAACTGGTGCAGCTGGATATGCGGAGAAACAATATAATACCAAGGTTCTCACACCAAAACTGACATATTTGAAGGAACAAGTCTTTCTATCATTAATTATGATTTCTACTTCAACATATTAAGGTTAAAGGATGCTAGGTAACATTCTAACGAGACTAAGTGACTAACCATAAAATAGCTACACAAATATTCCAATTGCACAATCTGGTGAAAGCCTTTTCATTTTGCACCTTGGTTGTCATTGATAAAATATCTTTTAGTACTTTGCTTTACAGGTCTACTTCCAAATGAGAAAAACTAATATTGAAGAGAAGTTTTACTTGTTATAAAACAGAAGGCCGTCTTTCACATATGGTACTGCTTCTGTATAGGCCGCATACAGACCATTCTGATCACAATCATATGCTGGAACCAGACTGAACCTGTACTTGTGATAATGCGAAGGTGCGTCACAAGCACCACTCTCTGCAAGCTTGGAATTCAACCAAAAAAACCTGAATTCCGCAGTGCAGTCATAAAGAGAGTAGCCCCTCCAGCAGACCATGTCAATAACATAGTAAGTTTGATCCAGCTGCGGGTCAAAGTCACAAGTCAACGAAAATATAATTATAACAGAGATTTACTGATAGAAACAAAACGGCTAACCTCGTGAAATATACAGTCCAATATAGAATAAGATTGAGCAGAACCGGAGACATCCTTTTTCCTTGCCCCGTTGGGAAGAGCAGACGGAAAACGATGCAGTATAGATCCATTCCTTAGCCTACTAATCGTTGTTCCGTTACAGGAAACGACGAAGCACCGTTTACCCGATGGCCTAGCAAAAACATACCTGGAGAACGAAACTCATTAATAAATGGGGCCTTACTGATCAATTTTAAAACTCCTTTCAACGCTAGAATTACAAAGTTTTGCAAGCAAAGAATGATGCAGCATTCAGACAGACCGACTGAAACAATCGTTTAGAGCAAAATGAGCAGGTTATGTTAAGTAAAGAAACTGAGATAAGAAAAGTGAAACGAGAAAAGCAAATGAACACCAGTCTTGACTAAGCCCATCAGGGATATCGATCATCCATTCAGGATGCATAAGCTGCTTCGCAAACCATTTCCGAGCCTCTGCGCCTTTGAGCTTGGAGGCCCCAACAATATCGAAGTCCTTCGGCAAAGGCTCCTGTTCAATCTCAGGCTCATTACCCGGATGGGATTTGGGCACAGCTTCAATCCCGAGTTCGGATTCGGAAATAGGTGCTTCAAGGGTTTGGGAAGCAAGAGAGAAAGCAGTGGAAGCCAAGCAGCGAGCCTGGTGCTGAGCATCGCGGCGATTTTGTGCTTGCCGGAGAAGCGAGAGTTCTCGCCGTCTCTGTTGGTCGGAAATGACCGGCCTTTTGAAGGGACGACGGATGTCATGCGGTGCCATGCCTTCGGGCAAATGCGACGCAGAGTTGCCTCTGGACGTTCCTTCGCTTCTTTCTTCGCTCAACTTAATGTCTGGCGCCTCCGTTTCACGTTTCGTAATCGTTTAGAAAACTGCCGATTCCCTCCTTCCGGGCTCTGGCTCGGTTCTTGTGCGAATGGGCAGATAAAAAGGTTAAATGAAGGGGGTAACTGTATAAACGCTGTTATATGTTTGGGGTTAGAATGTACCAAAAATTTTTGGCACTGTAGCAATGTCGCCTGAAACCAGCACTTTACACGTGTCAGTTCTTTTTCCCCCTCATTCATCTTCTTCTTCGACTTCATCTCGCGGTGCTACCTATTGATCCACTCTCTCGAGCATCCTGTAATTTTTTTTTTTTTTGGGAATGGAAACTGGATACTGCTATATACTAAGCAAAGCAAATACAAACAAAAAACAAGGAGAGTCTTTGACCATTCATCATCTTCTATAAAATATGAATTATGATCAAAGATACAAAAATCATTAGTGATAATATGACCATGCTTCACTAACCCATGCGCAAGGTAACTCGAGTCTCTATGCATAAAGCGTCTTGTAATTTTCAAACGTTTTTTGCTCAACAAGCTCGAGTTCTCAAGTGCGCAGCAATATAATGCAGCCTTGCAATGAAGCGAACTAAGACATGGTAACAGAAAGTGTCAAAGAAGTGAACTAAGACATGGAAGCTGTTTCTCTCAAAAATGTGAACTAAGGAGTGAAGCGAACTAAGATCTAGCATTGTATTCAATTTTGAGTCAGAGGAGGACCCAACTTTCGCCAAAAACCAACCCCTGAAACCCAATGACCCGAGTCCTTCCCAGAACCCGTTGTGCTCCATCAAGGGTGGCCTCCACGATGCAGTGTCATTTCCAACGCCATCATGCTCAACGAGCTGCTGGTGATCCTAGTGAGGGAGTCCAAGAAGGCCATCGCTTGATCGACCTTGCAAGTGTTATTGGCGTGCTTGAAGTGGACCATCAATCGAACTGGTATAGCAGGGTAGCGCTCATCCACCCACGAACGTCCTTGATCCTTAAACACGTCAACGTGTCATTGGCAAGACTGATGCAGTAGTTGGAGTCACGAAGCACTTCGATGCAGACATTGCAAGTTGTGGTGCGGTTGATACTGCAAGTGGATGAGAGTCGAAGATGCAGTAGTTGGGTCCAAAGAGAGGTTTCAAGAGAAGACTAGCACCAAAAATGCAAACTAAGCAGTGAAGCGAACAAATAAATGGCGAAGGTCAGTGAACGAAATGAGGAGAGAGAAGAATTGCGTCCAAGGTGACAAGTGGGAAGAATCAGGGAATTGACGTGTGTAAAATTCCAAGTTAAACCAAGAGTTAACAGTCAACAATTTGCTTGGGTTAATAACAAAGCATTATGTCACGGGTCTTACATTAAAAAGTCATGTTAGCAAAATGTGATTTAAAAGTCTAGACATCCTCCTTCTAAGAAGCCTATTTTGGAGATAAATTCTACCTAGGACTTGTAGTTGTAATATCGGTGTTCGTTTATGACGCGAAGCCTACAAAATATTAATCCATCTACTCAGTTCAACGATCCAGAAGAACCTGAGGCTAGAAGAAGCATGAGGCAAAGACAGGCCACGTGGAAGGTTCATGATCGAGGAACTATTCAGGGAATAGAAGCACGAGAGGTTAGGTATGGAAATTATTGAGTGAACTTTCTCTCTAAACGTCAATGTTTTTCTTGTTTCCTTGTTAACTTTCAATCATTTTCTGTACTTTATCCTTGTCACTTGATGGTTGATGAATAAAATTTGGTCATATTTTTTTCATTGCACTTTTCTATTTTGAGTATTATATAATTGATGCTTTTATTGAGAGTTATAGTTTGTGAAAAGGGCTACTTATAAAAGGGTTGATCAGTCAAAGTCAAGTGAAGTATTATGAAGCGTGAGTCATTGCATAAACCAACTATTAAAAGGTAGTTTATGTTATGAGTTTCACATCGAAAGACTACAGCATCACCGCCACAAACCTTTTGGGTATAACTCAACCCCAAAAGGCACCTCTTAAGAGAGGGTGCTCAAATAGCTTATAAACCACACTTTATTAATATAGCCTCTTGATGTGAGACTCATAACATAATCCACCCCTTAAGGGGGTGTCTGCAATGACCCACTCTCCACGATGCTTTACTCCATCTTTCCTAGTTCAGCCCCTTCACATGAGGCCATTTTTGTGAACGGCAACTCTTAATGAGAGTATCAATGTCATAATCATAAAATCTTTAAGTAGAATTTATCTTTAAAAAATGTCTTGTAGGAAAAAAGTGCCCAAATAATTTATAAATCACACTCCACTAATGTCATACTTTTTTTAAAAATATAAGTTTTGATTCCTACATTTTATTTATATTTTGTTATAAATCCTTATAATTTTTTTTTTATGTTTTAAATCTTTATATTATATTTTTTTCAATGTCCTTTTTTAGATGGTTATGAACATTCATCCCCGTCCTCTCCACTCTGTTCCTGTCCCAAACAAGATAAAAGAAAGAAAGAAAGAAAGAAAAAAAAGAAGGTTCTGAAACACGATATTGCTCCCAAAAAAAAAAAAACAATACCTCACGCCCCTTGCAGAAAAGTTGCGGTGCCATTCAATCTCAGGAAGCACCGGACGAGGTCGCTGCGAAGGGAAGAAATCGAGGGGGCGAAGAAGGTGAATGGAGCAAACTCTATGGGGTCACTTGCCGCTATTAGTGAGGTCTAATTCTAAAGATTCCGTCGAATACATTCTTCAAGCTCTTTGGAGAACCCGGAACACTGGTCTTGACTCCGCCGACCGCCACGTCATCCTTAACATGCTCCAGCTCCACAACGACTCCGACCTCGACCCTGTAATTACACCTCACTCTGTCTCACCGCCCTTTCTCTGATCCGAAAGCGTAGTTATGCTGATTTCTGGGGAAAATCAAGAACCGGTCTAAACCGGACCTTGGGATTTATCTCTTATGCATATGGCTGGCTGTGCAACTTGAACTTGTAGTTGCCTAACACTGCTTCATACATTTCTTATTTAGACTTTCTGAAGCTGAATGCTTCGTCATGTTTGTGCTTCATTGGTATTTGGACAGAAAGGCCTGAGAATTAGGTTGGAAAACACTAGTTTATGCTATTTCTGTAAATTCAAATTGTTTATGTAAACGCAACTGTTGTGTTCATGCAAAATGGTTGTGTGATTTCGTTGATTTGTTCTCATCTTGTCTACGAAAGTGTTGTGATTAATGAATACCAAGTCTCTGCTCATTCTTCTGGCTTTACAAAAGACGGGGTGTCAAATTATTTAATCTTCCGCTATTTTGGGGAAGGGGATGAAAGCTTCTTAAGTTAGATTTGAAGCTACAGAGGCTCCATAGTATCTAGAAACAAATAATCCTATAACTACCTATAGTTTCATGAATTTTAATGTATTAGTTTTTCTTAGATAATTCCTTCTGCAGCTGGTTATCATTTATTCATTTTTATTCTCTATCGGCAGCTTCTGGTATGCCTTCGAATGCTAATAAGGAGGTGTGTTTATGAGAATATCAGCAAGGATGATATTCCAAAGCTGTTTCCTGCTGAAGTTCTTCCTGAATTGCAAAGACTGTTGACACTTCTTTTGCAGAAATTCCAAAGAGAGTGGCAAGAAGATGTGCTGAAAGACCAGGTCAGTCATTAGGATAGGAGGCATACTTGATCTAGGTACTGGTATGGAGCAATTGATCTGATGTTATACAACAACAACAACAAGCCTTTATCCCACTAGGTGGGGTCGGCTACATGGATTGCAAAACGCCATTGTGCTCTATCATTTATCAAGTTTTTAGGAATATTATTAATTAAGAGATCGCGTTCAATAACTTCCAAGAGTGTTCTCTTAGACCTTCCTCTACCTCTCTTAATCGGACTCAAAGTTATATGTTCCACTCTTCTCACTGGTGCCTCCCTTGATCTTCTTTGTACATGCCCAAACTATCTCAACCGATTTTTTACCATTTTTTCCTCAATAGGTGTCACTCTCACTTTTTCGCGTACGTGCTCATTTCGAATTTTATCTTTACGTGTATGTCCGTACATCCATCGTAACATTCTCATCTCTGCTACTCCAATTTTATGCTCTTGCTGTCCCGTTAGAGCCAAGCATTCACTACTATATAACATTGCCGGTCTGATAGCAGTACGATGAAACTTTCCTTTAAGTTTATTAGGCACCTTACGGTCACAAATAACTCCTTTAGCTTTTCTTCAACTAAACCATCCAACTTGAATTCTATGTGAAATATCTCCACTGATTTCGCCTTCATTTTGAATAATGGCTCCCAAATATCTAAACTTTTCCACTTAAGGTATAATTTGATCTCCCAATTTCACTTTCAAATTATTGTCAAATAGTCCTTTACCAAATTTACAATATAAATATTCCGTCTTACTTCTACTCAGACGAAAACCTTTCGACTCCAATGTCCTCCTCCATAACTCAAGTTTGCAATTAACCTCTTCTCTTGTCTCTGCTATAAGAACTATATCATCCGCGAAGAGCATACATTTCGAAATTTTCCCTTGGATATGTTCCGTCAAAACATTTAAGATCAAGTTGAACAAATAAGGATTCAGAGATGATCCCTGATGTAGTCCAATCTTTATAGGAAAATCCTTTGTTTGACCACTAGGCATTCTTATACTAGTTTTTACTCCCTCATACATATCTTGTATGGCTTTAATATAAGCAATCCGTACTCCCTTTTTTTCTAATGCTTTCCAAAGCACTTCTCTTGGTATACGGTCATAAGTTTTTTTCAAATCAATAAAAATCATGTGTAGATCTTTATCTTTACAACGATACTTTTCCATTAATCCCCTTAGTAGATAAAATAATTGATCTGACGTTATAATGGAATGAAATTTCTTTCAGAATCTTGTGCCTCGTTTAAAGGCAATGACTTGGAATATGGCAAAACCAAACGAAGAATCAACAGACCCTGCAGCTGTTATTAATTTGAAGGTATGTGCGACCTTTTGAATTTTATTAGAAGAAGCATCTTCTGTTAATGCCCTTTTATTCCCATGTAACTTGTCATTTTAATTTTTTACATTTGTTGCTACCAAAATTTAAGTCAAATCTTCAACTTTGATTTTATGTGATTTTATTAATTTAGTTTCACCCTTTTCAGCTTCAAAATGATTCTCCATTACATTTGGGAGAACTGGATGTCAAGTTCCTGTTGGCTAAAGATACTCTAGAGATGATGCTGAAATCCACGCACAGCATTAAAGATCAGTATCCAACTTTGGTAAAAGCTATGCTGGTTTGTTCGCCTAATATATATACTTATATTAGTCAATATTCCTTCTGTTCTGATTGAGCTTGTCATTTTTCGTCAGGATGGGCCTTCAAATGGACATTAGTACCGGTAAAGTGAGAAACCAATGGAGTTGTTTCCAGTAGTTCTCACACAGAATGGTATGATTGAAATATGTTGCTTTTAGATTTTCCTTGGCTTGCTAATCAGTGGACATAGTTGGCCCTGTTTACAGCTAGATGTGACATTTAGTGTTTGAGATTTTAATCAGAGCATTGGCCATGGCTTGATCATGCAAGTCTGCTTGAATCAAACCCCATTTTCTTCACAGGTTTGTTTCGTACAGGGTGAAAGTGTATGCAGAAGGTTGAGAGAAGAAAATGTGTAGTTTAGTTGAGATAAATATCGTCCAACTTGGTGATCCAGTATCAGCCGTCTCTAAAATTATCTGTCAGTCTCGCAGCCAATTTAGGAAATAAAAGGCAAATTAATTTGAAGGCACTATGACTCCATGAGCTCTTTACTTGTGTTTCACATGCCACTTAAGAAAATAGACAAGCTACATATTTCTTTTTTGGGGCCAACATAAGTCCATAGTTCACTGTATAAAAAACTTACCCCGAAAAAGTCTCACTGTCAAATTGGAATCAGAAGAGATGAGATTCTTGGGGATAAGGAGAAATTTTGTGATTAGCAACTATGACTAAGTGTATTTTTGTTTTTAGAAACTGATTTTCTGCTTTTGTTTACGTTTTAAATGCTGAAGAATTGAACTGATGTTTCATCAACGGTGTTTGCTTGCAGGAGAAACATCTTTGATGCTAGATTAAAACATGAAGTTTTTCTGCTAGCGGACATGTAGTGAAAACAGCGAATCAATGAAGACTAGTGATTTGGCTTATGAAGGTGAAAAAATGGAAGTAAATATTTCAGATTTTCAGTTGATATGTGGGAAAAAACATACAAGTGTGGTGCTGGAGCCTCAAAATCCAGAATGAATATTTTCTGGCATTGTTTTCCCCTCTTCACTATTTTGTTGTGGAGTTGCTTGATTTAAGAATGTATTATCATTTATGTTCAGAAAACCAATAGCTTAAAGCCTCGATTTGTCATTATGATGGACCGGTTAGTACGTATTTGAATTTCCCTGTCTAAGGAGCAGCGGTCATTTGTTTCATCTTTTACACTGTAAATACTGAAATTCTGTGTATCATGTTTTCGATAAAGTTTATTTTTTGTTTAAAGCAGATTGAACTGCTCATTTGGAGTTGGCTGGTACAGATGAGATGGTTAGCTGTGGTTGACTGAGGTCCACACTTATCTTAAGTGTAACCTAGATCCAGGAAACTCTGCTGTGTAATGTGTATCCTGATATGCTGGACTGAAGCACAATGCATTACTGTCATGCTACAGAGGACGTTTATCTGTCTAATGAAAACACTATCCTGCTGGTTAACAGTTAATCCTAGTTTCAATGAAAAGCTAGGTTGAGTGTTTTTTTTTTTTTTAAATTATTGTGATTATTATTATTTTCACTGTATGGTTTTTTACATAATGAAATTATGAAGTTTTTTAAGAAAATTATGATAAATGTATGATTTTTATATGCTGAACCGTAAAGAGCATCAAAATTACGCACACTATCCTTTAAGACATATAAGATAGAAACAAGACTAGAAGAATATGTAGATACAAGATTCACTTGACGGGTAAATTGCTTTCCCCAGGAATATTTTAAGAACTTTTCTTTTCTATTTTCTGTCTAGACAAGGTCATACTTGTGGAGTTGGCTTTTCTCAGAAGAGCAAGAACCACTATAAATTTGGACCATTAAATTAAATTTAATGATTTATATTTGATAATTTTTAGGAATAAATTCGCCCTCTAACCTAAAAAAAATTGTACCCATAAAATATGAATTAAATTTTTACAAATTTAAAAGTATGGGTGGTTTACATTGATATGTAAAAGATTTATTATTGAAAATTTAAAAATTTATAAAAAATTTATCATTAATATACAACGATATGTCATTAATAAATATAATAAATTAATTATAATACAAAATATAATAAATGTTAGACTTTTTATTTGATTTTTTTTTATAACATACGTAACACCTACAAAAGCTCAAAATTTTAAAGGTACAAATTTAATTTAAACAATTTAGATTTGCGATGAAAGAATAGTGGAGGGAAAAATCAATGAACAAAAATTCACCCCTACACTTGCATTAATGTGCTCCGGCTTATAAACCGAATCTTTATTGATCTGGCTCAATGTCAAATTTGAAAGACTTTTTTTAAAGAAAATAAATTATTATTATTATTATTATTATTATAATATTTTACATTTATGTCTTAAAAACTAAAATAAATAATACACATCATAATTTTCAAGTACAAACACATGTCCAAATTTATTAAAAAATCATACTTTTAGTGTTCAATTAAAATAAATACTCCCTCCATTAAAAAATATAAAATATTTTTAATGGAATCTCACTCCAATAAAGTATTTACTTACTTTTAAACTAACTCTATTTTTACATATTTATCCTTATTAAACATCTTACAGTAAATATAAAATCATTTATTATTAGTGTCACTTAAAAAAAAAAATGATTACGCCTCAAAAATTAAATCCATCACGGTTGAGTTATGTGACGATATCAATTTTTTCTTACGTGAGTTGTCGAGTAGTTTAGGCTCCGTAGATAAATAATTTTTTAAAAAAAAAAATCTTGCCGGGAGAGTTTATCAATGACTTGCTAAAAACACAACATGCAATATTTTTAATTAATGTCTAAAATATAATTGACCGTTTCTGTCCTGAAAGAAATATATATATATATATATATATCTCACGGTCGTCGTTAACAATATAAAAATGCAATCCCCTCTATCTAATTGAGATGCAACTCTATTTTTATGTGTTTAATGTTTATTCCCATATTTAGATAAAATTAAAATTTTCTGGTAAAAAAATTAAAATTGGTTATAACTTAAAAAAAAAAAAAAAACTTGATGTAGATAGCACGCCGGGAACAAATATCTAATTTGTTGGAAGGGCGAATCATTTTATGGAAAAATATATATATACATATATATATTGTGGGTGTCACGTCATCCCTTTTGGGGCAGAATTGCTCATATCCCTTTCAAACGACTTTCTACCAATAAATAAGTTGATCCGAATTAACTATGCTGGGACTCTTTACCGAACGAAATCTTTAATTAAAGTTTAGTTGGATAGCTTTGCGGGGAAAAAAAGGTTAGTTGGATAAGTATAATTTTTTGCACATTTCCGTAACAATCCCAATTTCAAAAGCAGCAAGCTGCGCGCGCGCTCTCGCGCATTAAGATTAAGATGTCTAAAATTTGTATAAGAACAGCGGTAAAATTCCACGTTTTATTTGAAATCTCACTTTAATTTATGAGTCCGGTCATCCAGAATTGTGGAAGAGGGTACAAATAAAAATTCCAACAAAGAAAGGAAAATGATGAGTGATGATGCTAAACTGTTAATTCACTCACATTTCAAGACACAGTTTATAAATTCACAGAGAACCATTCACGGTTGAGTCGAGCATTCTGACACGATGAACGCAATTAATATATGATTGAAAATTTATATATATATATATATATATATATTTCTGACAAAAAAAAACAGATGATTGAAATTAATAAATTTCATTCCAATCTTGAAACTTGAAAGTACACATCTGCCATGTTTTTTTTTTTTTTTGTTTGGCCAATACCTGCCATGTTAAAAACAGAATGCAAATGATATACCCCTTCTCAATATAGAGCATTAAAAAATAAGGAATAAAAAAATAAGAGTATAAATAAAAAAGAAAAAATAAAATTTATTCAATCTTCTATATTTTAGATTAAATGATTTTTTTTAAAAATAACTTATATTATAATATGAGTAAAATAATAAATGAGAAATACACAGTGTACTTTTAATCCAGACCCATTCAAATGTCACAAAATGATCGGCAAAAAGTAGGTGTCTCTTTCAACGATCAATAATCATTCAAATATCAATGGAAAAAATAACAAGAAAGAGCCTTGGAAAACCATGGTTACCACCGAGAATTAATGAATTTTGGTTTAATATTGTAGTTTCTAAGATCTCAACTATAATTAATTATAATTGTGAAAATACATAATTGCTTATAACTATATTCAGGATAAATTATAAGAAAATTATTTTTTATTACAATGAGATGGAACATTGCTATTTTATGAATGGTGATTTATTCACTAGACTTGCACACATAGTTTTGTCAATAAAAATAACTTTATTTTGAACCTGTTGCTATGAAAATTATTTATAAAATAAAATAGAGTGTTGTTATTTTGTAAATATAACTCATTTTCTATATAAATGCATTTGGTTCTGTCAATTGAGATGGCTTTATTTTGAACTTGTCACCGTGAAAACTATTTCTTTTTAAAATGAAATGAAATATTGTTATTTTGCAGATGATAACATATTTATCACACGAATACACTTGGTTTTGTTGGTAGAAATGATTTTATTCTACATTTGTTATTATGAGAATTATTTATTGTTAAAATAAAACAGAATGTTATTATTTTTATGAATGGTCTTGTTCACCATATGAATATATTTAAGTCTTGTTTGGTTACTAAAAAATAATAGATTAAAAAATTTAAAATAAAAATGAGTTAAATTACCTTTTCCTCTCACGATAAGCATAATAAAAGCTCATTGATATATACTACAAAAATAAAAATTATTATATCTTTTAAAAATTTTATGAGTCATGATTTCAACTTCATGAACTAAATTACTCACTTTCTTTATAAATATTTCACATATCCTTTTTAATCATCTTATTTTTATTTTTTAACCTAATTAATTCCATTTATTTCTACTAATCAGAAGAGACCTTAGCTCTATCAATAGATATTGCTTTAAATGCCAAGGACAATTACATATTTTTTACAGTCATGATTAATTATAATTAGGATCCTAAAAACTGTAGTGTTAGATCAGAATTATTTGATCCTCAATTGTGAGTATGTTTTTCTCAAAATTCTTGGCTGTTGATTTTCCCATGTCAATATAGCAAAGTTTTCAGTCCCTCTTTTCTTTTCTTTTCTTTTTTTTGTTTGTTTTTGAAACAGACAAACAAAAATAGTGTTTTGGCTTAACATTTAACATTTGAGTTTGATACAAAGGAAATTAAATTATTATTAGCCAGCCAGCCAGCTCAACACCACAAGGACATGCCCAGCGCAACAACCTTGACTTCATCTATAATCAGTCAAACCTTAATATTCAATCGCGATTGGTTTTGGTTCTTCCTCATACTCTAAAGTTAATCCAACTTTTATAATGGTTTTTTTTTTTTTTAATTGTAACCTGGCCGTCATCAGTTAAATTTACTACTTGTTTGTTTAAACTTCAAAAACAAATACCACTTTCCAAATTATTTAGAAGAGCAACAGTAGTTTAGTTCAATTTATAAAATCTTTAAATAATAAAGAACAATAAAAAGGAAATTTTAAAAATATAATCTAAATAAGATGAAAATATATTATTTTAAAAATGATTACTCTATAAAATTTAAATAAATTTTTTCTCACATTTAGTTTAATCTTAATGAATTTTTCAGGCCTCGAGTAAAACAAATCTTTTTACTTATACTCTTGATTAACTAAATGTTAACAGTTAAAAATTAACATACGCTTATTTTAAAGAGAAATTATATGCAAGTTTTCTCCACAAATTACCTGAAGGCGCTTAAAAAAAAAAAAACGCTTTAATTCAACAAAATCTGGCCCAAAAAAGAAATTGTGGTAAAAAAGTTTTTTGACCAGCAATTGTGTGGTCAAAAACAATGTTTTCAAAACATTGAATTGAAAAGATCAACAATGATTCATATAGTTCAATTAAATTAAATTAATAATTAAATTAATTATATAATAATTAAATTAAAAAATTATATATGTATATATAATGATCTAACTATAATAAATAAATATAAAATTATTATTTAATTTAAAAATAAAATTAAATATTTTAATTTATCATGATTTAATAAATTATATGATATAATATAATATTAAATGATTAAAAAAATAATTATTTTATAAAAAATTGATAAAAAACAAAAAAATATTTTTTTGAGTAATTTGATTTTTGAAAATCAAATCTAATTTTCAATTTGATTGTCAGTTTAAAATGATTCAACCTAACTCAATACTTAAAATAATTTTTATAAGTTGATTGAGTTAAAATTCAAATCGATCGATGGTAATTATTTGGTTCAGTTTGGTTTGATTTTTAAATCGTTAATAAAAAAGTTAAAAAATAAAAAGAAAAAAATAGTTTTTTTAGAGGGACCATGGTCAACAGTAATAAGAATACGCAAAGAAGCAAGGGATGAAGAAGAGGGCGAGGCCGAAAGGGCACGTCAAAGAGCACAGCCAACGAAAATGTGGCAAGTTCCAAAAAGTCTAGAGGCGTGAATTGCGAACAAAGCCTTATTTATGCGCCCCAAAGCCAAAGCCAAACCCAAACCTTTATCCCGGAGCCGAGGGAAGGCCCCATCTCGTCTTCGCTTCGTTGATCAGTGCATCCCCACTTTTCTTTTCGTTTTCATTCTGATTCTCCTCCACTTCTTTCTTCTTCACTACTTCTTCTCATCCCCACCAGAATCGAAGAAACCCTAGAAACTAGAATTCCGATTCTCGCTCTCTGATGGCCGCCACCACCACCACCACCACCCCCAGTCTCGGCGACGGTGCTGATGATCGACTCCTAGCCACGGCTCAGCAGATCGTCAGGAGCCTCAACACTCCCAAGGAGGTTCGTGAGGACATGCTTTTGATCTTCTCTAGCTTCGATAATCGCCTCTCCAGTATTACCGATCTCATCAACGGCGAAGATTCCAAGTCTTCTGCGGCTGAAGAAGACCTTGACCGCTTCCAAGCTGCTGAGAAAGTCATCCTTCGCTGGGACTCGTCCGGTTCTGGGGCAGCTTCCCGCCAATCCAACTCGCTTCTCCACTGTCGGGATGACGTTATCGAGTACTTATCTGCGGTAGACGACATTGTTCACTGGATTGAACAAATTTCGATCGCACCCTCCTGTAAAGAGACTCAAATCCTGATCGACCGGGCGGATAACGCGATCCAGCTTGCCATGTCGAGGCTAGAGGACGAGTTGCGACATGCCTTGATTAGGAACACGGTTCCACTTGACGCTGACAGGCTCTATGGGTCGATCAGAAGGGATAGTCTCTCGTTCTCATCGAATTATGGGGGGCTTGGTGAGAATTTTGAAAGCTTCGATGAGGTCAATGATTGCGATTCTGCGCGGTTTCATGAACGAGGTGCGAGCTTGGCCGACGATGTCTTCGTTGATTTGATAAATCCAGAAGGGGTGGAAGAGCTGAAAGAGATTGCTGACCGAATGCTCAAGTCTGGCTACGATAGGGAGTGCCTTCAGATTTATAGCAATATTCGTCGTGACGCCTTGGATGAGTGCTTGGCTATCCTGGGTGTCGAGAGGCTAAGTATCGAAGAGGTTCAGAGGATTCAGTGGGATCTGTTGGACGAGAAAATGAAGAAATGGATATACGCTGTTAAAATTGTTGTCAGGGTGCTCCTCTCCGGCGAGAAGAAGCTATGTGATTGTATATTTGAAGAATACAGCGATGTCTGTTTCAACGAGACTGCAAAAGGGTGTATTATGCAGTTGTTGAATTTTGGTGAGGCCGTTGCAATCATTCGAAGAGCACCGGAGAAGTTGTTCAGGATATTAGATATGTACGAGGCTTTAGGGGATGTGTTCCCTGACCTGGAGGCTTTGATTTCAGATGAGTTTGTGATTATTGAGGCCAAAGGATTGCTAACCGTACTCGGCGAGGCAGCTAAAGGTTCATTTGCTGAGTTTGAGAATGCTGTTCGTAATGAGACTTCCAAAAGGCCAGTCTTAACTGGTGGTCTTCATCCAATGCCACGTTATGTGATGAACTACATGAAGTTGCTAATGGATTATGGTGACTCTCTGGACTCACTCTTAGAAGTAAGTGAAGAGGATCTTGATCGATTTCAAAAGAATCATGGCGGTGACAGTTCTCAGTTGGAGACCATGTCCCCCTTGCATCAGAGAATGCTGTTTTCAATGTCAGAGCTTGAGTTTAATCTTCAGGAAAAATCCAGAATCTATGAAGACAGTGCAATGCAGTATATATTTTTGATGAACAATATTTATTACATTGTGAAAAAAGTGAAAGACTCAGATCTTCGTAACGTCCTAGGGGATGACTGGGTTCGAAAGCGCCGTGGTCAGATACGCCAGTATGCTACAGCCTATCTCAGGGCCTCTTGGACCAAGGCATTGACTTGTTTGAAGGATGAAGGGATTGGAGGGAGTTCTAGTAATGCCTCAAAGAATGCTTTGAAGGAAAGGTTCAAGAATTTCAATGCATGCTTTGAGGACATATACAGGGTTCAGACTGCTTGGAAGGTTCCAGATGCTCAGCTTCGGGAAGAATTACGAATTTCTATATCAGAGAAGGTGATTCCTGCATACCGCTCGTTTGTGGGAAGGTTTAGTAGTCAGCTAGATGGAAGGCATGCTGGGAAGTACATTAAGTATACAGCTGAGGATTTAGAAAGCTATTTATTAAACTTATTTGAAGGAGAGCCTAAAGTGTTGCACAACGTGAGGAGAAAGAGTACATAGGATATAGGATTTTCATAACAGGTGAATTGCGTTTACCGGGAATATTTGGAAGCCATTTCTTTTGTTATGTGTATCCTACATCTGGATAGGTGTCTATTTTCGAGGTCCTTAAATCGCTGGACCTCGTCAAACTCAACTCGTTTCCTGTCCGTCCCCTAACAACCAAAAAAGAACACAGCACAACTGTTTGCTATATCTGTACGCTTGTGACGGTAATAGTATTCTGTATATGAGCTATAAACTATAGTTTGACATGCATAGTGTTAACACATTTCATATAATTAGTTTGACTGAAATTGTTTCTTTTCTTGCCAAAACTAAATATTCTAATATTCTTCCATATATCTGGCTTTTGGTGGTGTTATCATTTTCCTAGACGTGCTTGTATAACTTGGCTGCGTGTTTCTTACTTAGATAATTAGATGCTACATTTAAGTATGGTAATAAGTAATGGGTAAAGCAGAAACTGCTGACTAGAAAATTGGCTGCACATTATTGAATATTCCATTGTCACAAGGCTTGCATGATGATGATGGTCTCGTTGATATGATAAACCGAGGTGAAGGATGAAATATATCACCTTTATCTTCATGGTCTGTAACAATGGTGTGTGTTATTAATAATTTTGATGATTGCAAGTCATGCGTTAGTTGGTAGGTCATGCACAAGTTGAGGAGAAAAGCCTTGGCACTGAGTGCTTTGTTCCGTCCAAGGCGTCATTTAACATTAAGTTTAATAACAATTAGCATGCCTTGGCTTTGGGTATGGCATTATCACCAAGCTGTTGGCACTCAAGGCGTCATTGGAGGCTTATTATTGGCGGGTTAAATGTGTCTGTGCGTTTTTATTGGCAGAAGTTTGGGTTCTGTGTAATATATCTCAATCATTTCTGCCTCATGGATATGGTTAATATGCCTTTACAAATGCGATTTCCTCCCTCGTGATTAAACTCTCAAATGAATATTCTTTGTTTTTAACTAGTACGTGAACATGGCTTAGCTCAAGCTTGAACCTGCACCTCATAATTTGAGTGCATATAGTGGCTTCATGTGAAACCTTTTTAATCGATCATTGCCCTTTACTAAGAGCTTGTCTTTCCAATATGCCAGCCAATTTTATTCATCTCTGTTTATAAACAGTTGGAGTACGATATTCAAATTGTACCCTACAACCGGAGCCACTCCGGTGTTTAGTACGCTTGTGGTTTTCTGCATAATTTAAAGTTCACTCATGCTTGCCCTTTCTTGCTTCTGAAAACGTTTCTTCTAAACATTTAGAGAACGGTTGGCGTTACGTTTCTCTCATCCTTGTATTACTCTGCATTTGTTCATTCTTCAAGTGGACAATGGAGAAGAAAACCTGGTAAGTGTTCACAAATGTTCATGTTTACAATATATTGGTAAACAAGGGGGAGGAAGCTCTCTGTGTTGAACTGTTCTGATGCGGGATAATGTAATCAGATTGTCTGTTTCACTTGCTCGCTCCTTTTCTTTGTTGTTTGGATTATACAGGGTAGGAACGATGGAGAATTTATTATTCATCAAGACTGGAAACCACACCTAATTTTAAACATACGAGAGAAGGGAAATTCATCACTTGCCTTCTATTTCCCTATCCTTACCAAACAAAAGAAAACTAATAAAACGCTAAACACAGGCCCAAGAAGAAAGTGATCGACTTTATAAAGAGAAGGAAAAAAAAATTAACGAAGCTCATGTTCATGGTGGAACTGAGGGGATTCGTTCTCAGAATTTACGGCAACCCTTACTCGTACAGGTTAAACATATTCAACAAAATTGCATACTCTTACCTTGAAAGTAAAAGATCGGCTACTAGTTAGGCTCTCTGAATTATGAGGGTTTAAAACTGAACCGCACGTGCATAAATTACGCTCAAGTGGCCAAGTTATTGGTTTTGATACTTGCTAAACCCGGCAGTTTGGAGGAAGAGGAAGAACACCGTCAAAGAAATCACCAAAGTAGCCTCGAGGCTCATGCACTAGCCTTGAGATGATGTCTCTGAGCGTGATCACTCCTTCCAGATTCCCGTTATCATCCAAAACATAGGCTCGATTAATCTTCTTCTGGTCAAGCAATTGAATCAGTTCTTTCACTGTGCACCCTTTTTTGCATGTAACCAGTTCACTTAATTTTGGGAACACCTCTTCATGCTCCTCTAAGTAGCTTCTAACGGCCGTGAGGAAGTCTTTAACTGTTATAGTCCTGTTACAGCATAAACATCCAATGAGTGTGCAACAGATATAGTACATGTGAGCAAAGAGAATATTTGGTACCAGAATGAGAAATGTTCCATTTATGAGATCAAATGTGATGACAAACCTGTAATCGTGAAAGATTTCTGGAGCAGTTAGCAAGAATTGAACATCTCGTAGGTTTATGTTACCCACTGCTTTGTCACCACCCCTCTCGATTACAGGGACCCCTCCAATCCTCTTTTTCCTCATCACTTTAAATGCTTGAAGCACTGGTTCATCCTCATAAACCTAAACAGGGAAAGGAGCTTTTTTGAAGCTGATCAAAACCACTTCTGTCACTTGAAAGGGATAGAAGATAGAACTTGTTTGAAGTTATAGAAGTATACTGCTAAGGTGATGGAAATCACCACAATTCATGCATTCAAATACTGAAATATATGAAGTAAATCCACCCACAAGTGGCAAACGGGCACAATTACATGTTGAAATAGATAAGAATAAAAATCATAGAAGATGAGTTACAGACAGAACTGCAACTGCCAACAGGAAAATAAACAAGATGTATAATATGTTATATTTGAGACATCTGGGAAAGCTTTATCGCCAGATGACCTTGGATCATGGAAATGAATATGTGACACATTTTATGCAGCAGTTAAATGGGTTTTTATATATGCCTGTGCCAGACATGTGACGCTTATTAAGAATTTGAGAAGATACCATGATAATCTGATTTTCTGTCACCAGAGGAAGACCAACTGCAGATAGCATCTTGGTTCCCCAACTCTCAAACCATTGAAGGCCAGCGCATTCAGCCAACATATGAATAACAGCAGGCTGCGTGATAACGTTATCAATCCTGCCTGCACCCAAATCCACCACAGGAATACTCTTCATCTTGTACTTTGAAAGCAGCAAGAGCATGGTCAGGAATGAGTTTGATCTCTGCAATGCCAGGAATGGAGCCCAGCGGAATGAACCTGAGATATCACGGACCTGTGTGCTAAAGAGTTAGCTTAGTACACTAAGGCTGAATCCAGCAAGTGTAGATTTGGGACAAGAAGAATATACAACCTTGGCGCTCTTGTAAAGTTCAGAAGAAGTCAAATCCTCAAAAAAGATTCCTGAAGTTGCTGCAGCAGAGCCAAGGCCTAGGCCTTCAAGTTCTCGAGCAGCATTACATCCATTGACTGCTGCTGCAATAGCGCTTCCACTGGATGGACTCCTAGGAGATGGAGGTTCAGACTGTCAAGAAAGTCAGTTCCCATATTCACTTAGCGTGAAACATGATTAGGTTGAGAACGATCGCTTCTCCCCACCAAAGAGCAGTGCCTCGGCTTTTATACCATTTTTGAGTTCTACATTAATCACATACTAAAGTCTTGCAACTTTTACATGATGTATGGATTTAACTTACATAGAATGAAAGGGAAGTCGCTGTATTTTATTCTAAATAATATAATAAAATTAATTTAACTTATATTACATATATACTTATATAAATGTGTATGTATATTCATTAATTAGAAAAAAAATTAATTAGACCTACTAAAATATATCATATAAAATAACTATTATTTTACAAATTTTTATATCATATATAAATATATTAAACATTTACTAATAATAAAATACAAATTTTGCTAAAAAAACATTTCATATTTTATAAATACACTAACATAATAATTATAGAAAAACAAAAAATAACCAAAAAATGTATATTTCACATTGATATTTATTAAATTTATTAAATTAATTTTATATTAAATTAAAGTTTTTATTAACTGAAATAAAATTAAATGTAAAGATAAAAAAGAAAAATAAATGATATTACCAATTGTTATAAATTAAAAAAATTACTTGTCACATATCAAGAAGGTCACTTGTGATATTTAGAAAAGATTATACATTTTATATGAATAATAAAATTTTAAATCACAACCTTTATTTAAACTTCACCTTCATTTTAATATAATGGGATGTGGTTCATATTTATAAATTTTTATATTATTAATTTTTTAAAAGAATTTCAACAAGAAAATTGCCCAGCTAATTTAATATTCCAAATCCACGATTGCCGGGAGACCAACCCTTTTAAGAAAAGAATAAGTGAAACCGAATTTAGGTGATTCTTCCCTTTAAACTTCAATGGCATGATTGGAATTTATAATAAAACGTGGCTTGAACAAAGGATGTCCTTTGCGTGTTATTTCACCAATTTTGGGTCCAGACAGAGAAAGTACGAGACTCAATAACGTAATGGATTTATCATATAGATGGTAAAAAATGGTCGATGATATCCAAACTAATGGAAATTTTATGGCCTGTAAAAAATCATATGGACAAATTGGCATCATGGCATGTATACCTGTTGCAGAATCCAAACAGCAATTCCAGCAAACTCAACAATTCCAATATATCTATCCATCCAAGTAGCATCTTCAGATGCCACTACATCGACAACAGGTGCGCTGAGAATATTGTGCTGTGACAATATTTTAACAGCCTCGGACAGGGTGGTGTCTGATTTTATCTCAATCACTGGAAAAAAAAAAAGAGTCATGCATGTTGTTATATATACGACACACATATAAATGGAAAGACAGACGGTAAAAAGAGACAGCCATGCATTATGCTCATGTTTGTTTTACTATTAACGGTCTCATCAAAACTAGATCGATTTTTGATCTTGTTAAATCAAAAACATTAAATGAAAACATCTTTAGAACATGGAATAGTTTTCATAAGTAGATTAAGTTATGTACGAAGGACATCACATATATACCTTGGTTAGAAGAAGCAAGAGGGAAGGCAGAGACAGGGATGTTTTCGAAGCAAGCATTAAGCTTTTCGGTAGGACTTAATTGTGGCTCCTGAACGTCCCACAGATCCTCCACTCTCAATCCCAGCTTCGCTTCTGGGCTCCTCGGACCCATCTCTTGCATTGTTGCCATGACACCAACTCTCTCTCTCTCTCTCTCTCTCTCTCTCTCTCTCTCTCTCTCCGTGCAACTCGTAATGATCTCGAACTTCAACACGCCCAACACATCCCATAAATAAAACCGAGAGTGTAGGACACTGAAGCCTGCCATCACTTGACAAAATGACGTTATATACCTAAGATCTCCACCGTCGAACCCTATACTTTGATTTACTTTTGGACATCAGGACACGTGGACTAATGTGATAACGTCAAGACTAGGTTGCCGTCAACGTAAATGGTTTTGTCAGGGCGCCTCACTCGCCATGCTTATCTAAGTTTGTGTATGATTTGGGCAAAACATCCTTATCCGGATTTAACTATGGGCCACAAAAGCGTGCAACACCTGTGCGTGCTTTTCGCTCATGGTATTGAGAATTTTACGTTTGTTGAGGGAGAGAGACACAAGCCTTTATTCTAATCAAAGTCATAATTTACAAACACTTACCATTATTTAATGCAAAATCCATTCTCCTTTTTTGTAGGAAAATATGTAAGAAGTCATCCATGAGAACTATCACTTACTATTTTCACTAATAAATTTTCGATGTACAAAATGTAAAAAGCCCATCGAAATTTGGATTTCATCACAGTAAAATATTTAATAAGTTCGTCTCCATCAAATCAAACTTCAATTATTTATAATGTTTGTTTCAAATTTACCTCAACTGAAACTTTGTATAGACGTCTCACGTTTGCATTACTTCGTGAGAACTGGGATTCGCCGATCAACTTTGTGCAATTATTATTATTATTATTTTTTTTTCAATTGAATCGTTTAAAACAAACATTATAGAGTACATGGGCCTTGGCAACCTTTTTGGAGAATAGTTTTTTATTCTTCAAAATAAGAACAAAAACACTTATTTGATAATATGTTATTAAAAAATGTTTTGAAGAACAAAAAAATAAAATATTATTATGGAGAATAGAAAAATAAGAATATCCTTTAGGTGTTTCAGGAATATTATTTTAAAGAACAAAAGAAAATAAAAAAACACCTATTATTATTATTATTTTTATTTTCAGAATATATTCTATAAATATTAACTCTGAAAATAGTAAAATAAAAATAATTTCAAACAGGTTCTATACTGTTGAGTGCATGTTTAAATTTCTCTGGTGCCTAGGACAAGAGAATGAGGACTGACGAGTAGGCGTCGGGATTTTTTTTATTTTTCATCACGTTTGATTACTGGTGGTGATATGGGGGCACTGACTTGACCAGAGTTTTATTGTGTTACCTGCATTAAATCTTGCACAATTTTCTAGTTAAGAAATAAAATTAAATGTGATGCAAAATAAAAAATATATATATACTTCTTCCCCCACCTATCTACGTGGCAACAAGACAACAAATGAGTACCATTTTTTAACATAAAGCAAAGCCCCCCGGTGAGAATAAGAGATACGAGAAACAAGAACACTACTGTACAATGACTGGGGCAATTCTAAAGTAAATTAGTGGCCTTGGGTCACAATTTTTGGAATTGTTTGCCGGGCTATCAGATGTAAAAAAAAAAAAAAAAAAGTTTGAAGACAGCTCCCCTTCAATGAGTGAACTCAAGCACCAGTGCTTAGCAATGTTGATGGAGGACGACACCATCAATGGGAAGCTCGAGAATAGACTTTTCCACTCCTTGGATGATCAACTACATGTCTACATTGGAGCCCTTCTCCAGAAGGCCATGTACGGATAGACGTAGATGCTTCGGTGACCAATTAAAATTTAAAACTCAAGGGCTGTTGACCCTTCAGAAGAGTGGATTCAAATTCGGTCTATCGCTTCACTAGACAAGAGATTCTGATTAATGAACCAATTTGTTACATCACCAATAGTTCAACCAAACAGAATCAGGCTGGGCAAAAAAAAAAAAAAAAAAGAATCAGAACATGCCGCCACTAAATTCTTTCTTTCTTCCTAACTCCAGTTCATTCTTGTTTCTCTTTTCTTCTTTTTACTGCCTCTCGGCTGGGTAGAAAACAAAGGCTACCCAAGTTTACATCAATTTTGCATGTCCCATCCTCTTCCTAGTCTACAAGGGAAGAAGCCCATGTTCAGGCAAAATGCAAACGAGAGCAGCGCGTAACGTTAGGATTTAACTAACACTTCTTTTACAATATTGTGTTAGGTGCTCCCGGGAGCATTACTTTCAGCCGTTTTGCGGTTCAAGTAGCGAGTGACAGCATCCTCAACCCTGAAACCATTATAAAAAAGAAAACAAAATCTATCAAAAAAGTACTAGGAACAACTAGGAAGATTGGAGCTCCAAACACGGTTCTCAGAATGTCAATCAAGCATAATTTCCCTGCTGCCTAAAAAACCCAAATCTGACTTCAAAATTTCGTTGTCTCGAGAGCTATTTATGCATCGATTTCAGAGACCAACAGGAATACAGTGCAAGCCATGAAAAAAGATTTAGTGGTTGTCTCTCTTTTTCAACTGCCATTTTTTATTTGATAAATGAAGAAATTTCAACAGGATTAAAGACCTTCAATTTCCCAACCCAAAATGTGCATCCTAAGCATGAAAAACACAAGGACAACGATAATGTAATTGAAGACTTACCATGATTGATTGTAGAATTCAGCATGTCGTTCTCTTTCTGCATTATGGCTGGCATCTCCAGCGACAAGCTTTAAATCCTTACTCTGAGAACCAATCAAAGCATTAATAAACTCTGCAGGGGAGTGACTGAAGCCAAGAAAGAAAGCCCGCCTCTTACGATGCTCATGGATCTTCTTTATGGCAGTAGAGATCACTTCATCACAAGCATCTATCTCTTTGTGCCTCTCAATACTTGCCAAGAAGGATGACATATCCTTCTGTAGTGGAAGAGGCACATCAACCTGCACATCATAACATCCAGTACCAGCTGGAGATTTTCCAGAAAGTTTGATTTTGTGCTGCAAATGTATGGGCTGTGGTTGTGATAAATGTTGTGATATCTTCTGTGCAATCATGGAGAACTTTATCTTCTCTTCACCAAACACCCTTTGAAGAGGAGGATCACACATGAAGAATGACGGGTCATTTGGGCTCTGCAGCTTCCTGGACTTCACATAGTGCCAAAGAGCAGCAATTATTCTTGGGCGAGTCTCAACCTCAATCCCTAAAAGCTTAGACAGTTGTGCTGAAACCGAGAACTTCTCAGGTAAATAATTCAATTCTATTCTGATCACGGCAGTGAATTCTTTGTCTCCTTTCCTCTTTACCTCAAAACCATCTTGTTGGATAGATGAACGAGCGCTCTCCCATAAGATGACATGATTATCAGGATAAAGGCTCTGATCTAAGTATATAGTCATTTTCTTGAAAAAGGATGAAAATTTGGGGTACATAGAGCCTGGTTTCTGGGAGATTCCAGCTACCACAGGATCCTTACCATCTTCTAATATCCTTCCTGTTATCTTAAGTGACCAAGAAGGTTCCTCTGCATTTTTCGTCTCAGAATCTATTTGTGCCTGATCTGAAAATGTATTGTACACGTAAATACGTAGAGTTTTTTGAACGCATGGAGGGTTTTTAAGAGACTCGCGTACATCAATCTTCTTCCTCGCCAAAATAGCGTCTATCTGAGCTTCATATTCAAGCAACTGAGTGTAAAGGGCGGACTCTGGCAAAAGTGCAGCCACCTTTTCCGGTATTTGTTTCTCTGGTAATTTCGGCTTCTTCCGCCTGGCAGCAGGGGTCAATTCCATAGTCTTAAAAGGTGAAGATGCATTAGCAATGGTCGAACCACTAGGCCTGGAAGGTGGCTTTTGAGTAGCCCGCTTGGCACTTGCAGTAACAGGCGTTGAAACAGAAGGTGGAGTCATGTTGGCAGTGTTAGTGTTAGTGCTATGCAACTGAGCAACAACAGGCTGCGTTTGAGGTTGTAAATGACCTTGGAATTGAGCATGGGGAGCCTGAGATTGCACACGGACATGAGGCTGTGGATACTGTGCATGAGCAAAAACCTGGGCTTGGGGCTCAGAAAGCTGAAAGTGACCAGGAAAGTGAGATGCAACTTGTGTTTGAGGCTTTGACTGAGAGAGAAGATGGGGCGGCTGGCCCGTGGTATTAGGCTGCGGGGCGATTCCGGAATTGCTCAAAAGGGACGATGCCGCAACGTTCTTTACAGGATTGTTCATGATACCGTCGCTTCTAAAATAATCTCTTAGTCATATGCAAACTTCCTGGAAATGAAGTTTCAGAAATATATGGACCCCGATAACTTCGAGCGGCCAGATTTTATGAACTAGGTATTTCTTCATAAGCTTTCCCTTTCTCGCCAGCTCGCTCCTCCAAAATAACAGAGATCAGAAGGCGAAATCAGACTCTGCAGAACCTGAGTTGTCAAAGACAAAACGTTCCGGATCTAGAATTATTCAGAAAGTTCAGGAATAAAACCCTAATTACAAAACCCCATTGCCAAATGTGATGAGGCACTAATTCGTCGGACTGGATATCCCCTCTTCAAATTTCGTCAGAGGAAAAGTATACAGAAGAAAGCAGACGGGGAAAAATCTTACTCGCAATATTCACTTCGATTACGTTCTCCAAATTTGAAGTTTGATATGGGAGTCGAAGCGCGATCACTTGACGGTCTCTGCTATACCTCTCTCAGCATACATACTTTTTAACCATCTCTAACCAAGATTCCACTTGGTTCTCTTTTACTGAGTAATCTTTTTTCCTTTTCCCTCCCTCGCCTCGTCCTCGGACGAACCATATGAGGGTATCTGAAGTCACTGGCTTTCAAGTTTCAACCCAAATTTTCTTTCCTTCGGCCTGAACTAAAGTATTTACATGGGCCAGAAAAACTAAAATATTTCCATGTCAATGATAATTTATAGCCCAGCATCTCGGGAGTTAATAATTAATTATTATTTATTATTAATAAATAATATAATTTATCTAATAAAAAATTAATTCAATTGTTAATATGAGTCATATTTAATAAGCGGCCAAAATTCTTTTTTTTTTTTTGGAGTGAGAAAAGCTAAGGCAAGAATTATGTAAAAGTTAAAGATAAAAAAAATCAAATCATGTCAACACTGGAAGAGTTATTACACCTTAAAGGTAATTTGCCTAAAATCTTAATATTAAGACCATCGCTGGGGGCTTGACATGCAAGTCAATATGCACAATTGTTAGCTTCTTTGTAGATGTAATAAAAAATGATCGCTAAATTTCAATTTTCACTATCTATAACATTCCTCGCATCCATGTTATATGACTTCTAGAAAGATTTTTTTAATATTTAATATAAGGCATTTGATTTGATGGGATATTAACTACATTTTTTAATATTATCTTATTTAAATTTGTTAATTATGAGAGAGATATAATATAAATTTAAAAAAATTATTTAAATAGTGATAAAATTAAAAGTTTATTCAATTTTTAAACAAAGCTAATAATTTAATTATCTTTCTCTCATTTTAGTGAGAAAGTTAAAAGTATTTTATAATAAAGATAAGAAGGAGTAAGCATATTTGCGAGTATTTTTTAAACTATAAAACCTATCATAACCTTGATGAATTGCATTCATGCTTGCGTGAAATTCTCACCTGTTAAAATAAATATATCTCTCTCTCTCTCTTCGCTCTCTCTCTATCTCTCTCTCTTCTATCCTCGCCTATCTCTCTCTCTTTTCTCTCTCTTCTCTCTCTCTCTCTCTCTCTCTCTCTCCTCTCTCTCTCTCTCTCTCGGCTAAATATACATTTTTTTAAAACTCATGGTGACTTATCAACTGCCATTATAGTTAACACTTATGTAACACACCAAATTTTTTTTTTTAAATAATTTAACTCAACCATAGTTGGGTTACAGCCACCCAACACATTTTATATCAATAATTTTGATAAAAATATTTTATAATTGGCTTCAACTCACACACTATAACATTTCAGATAAATTTTTACCTCCCACATGCCATTAGGCTAAATCACATTTGTCCATCCTTATACTCCCAACAAGTAAACTAAATCACATTTGTCCATCCTTATACTCCCAACAAGTAAAATAAGCAATTTAATCAATTTTCAACACAAGCCAGTTATTTGGCCTTATAATCATGCCATTTTAACCAATCCAAAGTAAACCAAATATTAAAATTACAGTCATCCAAATTGTACCAAAAATAGAAATAGTTTGAAAGGCATGATTACATTTATATATTCATATAATTGACAATAAACATAAAAAAAAGCCCTAATATTGGCAATATAACACATTATAAATCATAAATTAAATACCCAAAAGAGACAGTGGATCTATACCACTAAGCCTCTGGGACTCCTCTACGTGTCACTCGTGGCTCTTCTCCTGAAAATTGTTAACCACATAATGAGACTCAAAAGTCCCAGTAACCAAAGCCAATTTATGATAGTGTATACAAACAGTTAAGTGTGTGCTTACTAAGTGAGAATTAAAAATAATATAATTCCAACAAATATAAGAAATATTATAATAAACACAAACAACCATCCTTATATCCCTCCATTAACCTCGAGCCGTAGCCCTCACTCGGTGCTAAATTACCCGGCCAAAGGTAGATTAGCCCGAGCCCTTACAAACCACCTATTGAGCTCCAATAGGGGCGTACCACGTGGCACATAATACAACAACAATAGCAAGTCTCCCAACACCTCCCACAATAATTAAACAAATTCATAATAATATTGCACAATTATACAATTTACAAAATTCATAATTTTCTCAATAATCACCCAATTAACAAAAGTAACACTAATCACAAATTAAAAGCATGGTTACCTTGTGGCTTTTTCAATAAATTATTCCTTAAAATTTCTCTCTCACCACAATCTTCACCAGTAATACAATCTACAAATAACATATTATTTATAAATATTAGTTTCAATTTTTGAAACTAATAAAATAATTCTAATAATAGAATTAAAAATATAACATAATTCCTAATCTCAATCTTAATACAAATCTATAGTTAATACTATTAAGTATAATTTTTAACTCCTCTTTTAATTATCAATAAACATTAATAATCTAAAAATCAACTTCTAAATAATTTCTATTATCAAAATTTTCTTTTTATTTCATAAATTCGTACCTAAAATACTCAAAAATTAAAAATTAAGTCTCTAGCTTAGAATCATAATCCTATAACCATAATAATTCATTTCTCATCCCAAATAATCATCTAAACCTCAATAAATCAACATATATTTTCAGATCTAGTTTAGAATTTGATCCATAAGCCACAGATTCAAAGATCATCAATAAATTTATACTCTAGAACATTTATTATACTACTGACAACCTCAAAAATCATATTTATTCAACATAAATTCATCCCTCTTCCAGATCTTAAATTTTCTACCACTACAAACTCAGAAACTAAAGAAGAAGGATGACTAAGAAAAATTTTTAGAACACTTACTTAGTCTTGAAAAGCTTAAAATCACACCCTAAATATCCTATTAAAAACTCTTACCTTAAAAATTTAGATATTTCGCACCGGCAACTCGCTTCTCTCCGCCTCAGCTCGCGCGCAGGAATGAATGAGGAAATGAAGGAAGGTGAGTTTTTATAAAAATTCAGTGGGTCCCACATTTTTTTTTAAATTATTTTCTCTCTCTTCTTCTTCTTTCTTTTTATTATTATTTTATTATTGTTACTGTTGAGGCGGCGGACGAAACGAATTGCTTTCTTCTTCTTCTTCCTTTCTTTTCCTTTCTTTCTTTTTATTATTATAATAATAATTTAATAATATTTTATTTTTTATTTATTATTATTATTTTTTTTATTTTTATTATTATTATTTTTTTTATACCTTTTTTTTTTATAATAATAATTTAATAATACTTTTCAAATTTTTATTAACCCAAATTAACTATTAAAATTTAAATTGGGATGTTACAATTCTCCCCTCCTTTTAGAAATTTTGTCCTCAAAATTTAAAATTAATAACTATTAACTACTCACTTAATCAAAAAGACGAGGATAATCACGTCGCATACTGTCCTCGGTCTCCCACGTAGCATCACCTGGAGTTGTGCTCTTCCAGATTACTTTAACCAATCTAATGGTCTTGTTTCTTAATTGCTTGTCCTTATAATCCACAATCCTTTCTGGTTCAGCTTTGAATGTTAAATTCTCCCTGAGTTCAATTTCCTCGGGTTCAATTATATGGGAAGGATCTGGTTGATACTTTTTCAGTTGTGACACATGGAATACATTGTGTATTCCAGCAATTTGGGGTGGTAATGCTACTTGGTACGCTACTGGTCCAACTCGTTTTAAGATCTCAAAAGGCCCCATAAACCTTGGTGTCAACTTCTTAGCCTTAATAGCTCTTCCAACACCAGTTACTGGAGAGATTTTCAAAAATACATGGTCACCTACTTCAAACTCAAGCGGTCTTCTCCTCTTATCCGCATAACTCTTTTGTCTACTTTGAGCTGTGAGTAATTTTTGCTTGATTAAAGCAATCTTTTGGGTAGTCTCATCAACAATGTCTGGCCCCAAAACAGTTCTCTCACTTAATTCTGTCCAACACAGTGGCGATCTACATTTTCTTCCATACAATGCCTCATAAGGTGCCATCTGAATGCTAGAATGAAAACTATTATTGTAGGCAAATTCAGCTAATGGTAAGTGACTATCCCAATTACCTCTAAGCTCAATGGCACACGCTCTTAACATGTCTTCAAGAGTTTGTATGGTTCGTTCCGTTTGCCCATCGGTCTGGGGGTGGTAAGCAGTGCTAAAACTCAGACGAGTACCCATGGCTTCCTGTAATGACTTCCAAAAGTTTGATGTGAATCTCGGATCACGATCAGATACAATATTTGTCGGCACTCCATGCAATCTCACCACTTCTCTTATGTAGATTTCAGTTAATTTTTCGAGAGAATACTTGATATTAGTAGCCAGAAAATGAGCTGATTTGGTGAGTCGATCTACGATTACCCATATAGTGTCATGACCAGAAGATGTTCTAGGCAATCCTGTAATGAAGTCCATAGAAATGCTGTCCCATTTCCACTCTGGAATATCAAGAGACTGTAGCATCCCGGCTGGTTTCTGATGCTCAATTTTGACTTTCTGACAAGTCAAACAACGAGTTACATGTTCAGTTACATCTCTCTTCATCCTTGGCCACCACCAACCACGTCTTAAGTCATGATACATCTTAGTTGCTCCTGGGTGAATGGTATATTTACTCTGATGAGCCTCCTCAAGTAGGATATTTTTCAATCGAGTATCATTAGGCACACACACTCTACCTTTATATCTTACGACATCATCATCGGTCACATCAAAATGTTCAGCCTTTCAGCCCCAATCTCTACCCTAATCTTATTCAAATAATCATCCTTCTGTTGCGCAATTCTAATTTCTTCCAAAAATTATTCTCAAATTCAGTAATATGTAGAGCAGCCAAACGATTTTCGACTACTTCTACATTTACTGCATGAAAACTACTCCATAATTCATGTTCTCTGACCATCATGTGAGCAGTATGTACAAGCTTCCTGCTCAGAGCGTCGGCGACTACGTTAGCTTTCCCTGGATGATACTTCAACTCAAAGTCATAATCCTTCAAAAACTCAATCCATCTGCGCTGTCTCATGTTGAGCTCCTTTTGATCAAACAAATATTTTAAACTTTTATGATCACTGAAGACTTCAAAAGAAGAACCATAAAGATAGTGCCTCCAAATCTTCAAGGCAAATACCACAGCAGCAAGCTCCAAGTCATGAGTAGGGTAATTTTCCTCATGAGGTCTCAACTGTCGAGAGGCATAAGCCACTACTCGATCCTCCTGCATCAATACACAACCTAAACCTTTCTTAGAAGCATCAGTATACAAGGTATAAGGAGCAGTTGGAACAGGTAAGGTGAGCACCGGTGTGGTGGTCAACCTCTTTTTCAGCTCCTGGAATGCAATTTCACACTCGTTCGTCCAAATAAATGGAGCATCTTTCCTGGTCAACTTAGTCAAGGGCATTGCAATTTGTGAAAAACCCTTAATGAAACGACGATAGTAGCCTGCAAGACCCAAGAAACTCCTAATCTCTGTCACACTTCGAGGTTGCTCCCATTTCATCACTGCATCTATCTTACTAGGGTCCACTGCTACCCCTTCTTCTGAAACAACATGGCCTAAGAATTTAACTTCTTTAAGCCAAAAATCACATTTGCTCAACTTGGCATAGAGCTTGTGCTCTCTTAATATCTCCAAAACAATTTTAAGATGTCTAGCATGGTCCACCTCATCTCGAGAATAAATAAGTATGTCATCAATAAAGACTACAACAAATTCATCGAGATAAGGCCTGAAGATTCGATTCATATAATCCATGAAGACAGCTGGGGCATTTGTTAACCCAAACGGCATCACTAGGAACTCATAGTGCCCATATCTAGTTCTAAAAGCAGTTTTAGGGATATCCTCTGCTCTAACCCTCAATTGATGATACCCTGATCTTAGATCAATCTTAGAAAACACTGCTGAATTGACTAATTGGTCTAACAAATCATCAATTCGAGGTAAGGGGTACTTGTTCTTGATGGTTACCTTATTCAATTGTCTATAATCAATACACAATCTAAGGCTTCCATCTTTCTTTTTCACAAACAGTACCGGTGACCCCCATGGTGATACACTCGGTCTGATAAACCCCTTCTCTAACAACTCTTCAATTTGTCTCTTCAATTCAGCTAACTCCGATGGAGACATCCTATAGGGTGCCTTAGAAATAGGCCCCGTACCAGGTACGAGTTCAATCGAGAACTCAACCTCTCGTTCTGGAGGCAAACCGATCACTTCAGTAGGAAAGACGTCAGGGAATTCTCTCACTACTGGAATCTGATCTACACCTTCTTCAATCTCTGCCTTGATTGAGAAGAAAATCATAAAAGCTTGACAGCCCTTTCTTATACACTGTTCTACTTGAGCTGCAGACAACAACATAGGACTTTGGGACTCTACAGGGGTTACAGTAAGAGCTGAGAGTGACACACTCTTTTTCTGACAATTAAGTACAGCTCCATTTGCAGACAACCAATCCATCCCCACAATAACATCAATCCCAGACAAAGACAAACAAATGAGGTCTATGGTGGTCTTTCGACCCTCATACTCAACCTCTACATTTAGACATGCCTTAGCAGTCCTTACAGTCAAACCAGCAGGAGTAGAAATCTTCACATCAAAAGGTAAGGTACACACAGGCAATTTACATCTTTTCATACATTCATCAGACACAAAAGAGTGTGTAGCACCCGAATCAAACAAAGCACAAACATCATTATCAAGGATTCGGATTATACCTCGGATAGCATTAGGGTTGTTAGCAGCCTCTGGCCCAGAGAGGGCATACACTCGTGCTGGTACTGTAGGTCTCTGATCATTACCCCTATTTTGGTTTTGATAGCAGAATCTAGCAATATGACCAGGCTTCTGACAGATGTAACAAACCCAACAATCACCAGAATGAAACTTCCCACACTTACTGCATGCTTGATTACTAGCAGCACTAGGAGTAGGATTAAAGGTAGCTGGGCTCCTATAGGACCCTTGACTTCCACTCTGATTCCCTCTGTAGCTCTGGCCCTTATGATAGTAGCCCTTCTTCTTCTGATTTCTAAAGCCTCCAAAGATTTGACTGCTCCTCTTCTCTACTCCACCAATGGGTCTGGTGTGGATAGGGGGCTTCCCATGAGGTTCTTTCCTCCTCTCTCTATCAGCTTCTAATCTAGCCTCTCTCTTCCTCCGAGAAACTATTCGAAGCTTATTGCACATCTCACTGAATGTCTTGATCTCAAAAGGGGCTAACTGTTCCCTTAGATCAGGCCTCGCCTTCTCTAGTAATCGTTCAGCCATCCACTCCGTGTCTTCATGTTTCTGGAGGTAAGTAGAGTATTTAGATAATTCTGAGAATTGTTCAATAAATTCATCCTCATCTAATCACCCTGACGGAATGCATGAAACTCAGCCTCCTTTTCTGCTCTCAGTGCAGTAGGAAAATAATTCTCGAACAATATGGCTTTAAAATCTTCCCAAGTAAGAGAGGAATCATCCTTCGGTCCTGATGTTTCCCACCATTTCTTAGCACTCTTCTGTAGTAGGAATATTGCCAGCTGCACCTTTTGATTAGAAGTGCACACAACCATACGAAAAATACTCTCCAATTGATCTATCCATTCTTCAACCACCGCCGGCTTAAGATTTCCATCGAAAGTAGGAGGATTAAACTTACGAAAAGTACTCCAGATCTTTGTGATCGTGGATGTCTGTTGCTCAGAGTGGAGACTCACATTCTTCGGACTAGTCTCATGGTGAGAATAGGGAGGTAAGCCTTCATCAGCAGATTGGCTCGCATTGAATACCTTGGTATGGCTTCCTTCTTGTTGGCCATTTCCCTCTCGGTTGTCATTCTCCTTATATTGTCTTAAAGCGGCCAACTCTTCTTCTTGTCTCTTCATGCGGTCACTAAGATTATATAGTAGATCCATCATTTGCCTCATGGTTGGCTCATCCTGCCTTAGTTGTGACTGTATGGGCTCGCCCTGCCCAATTTGTTGCTGTGTGGGCTCCGGTTGTGGCAGTGAAGGTATGTCATTTCCTATTGGCTCTATAGAATCACCGACAATTTCGCCACCTCTCCTAGTTTTAGACACCATCTCTCCCCTCCTAAAGGATGGAAGTCACATAATTAAGTTAACACTAATCTCAAGACAAGAAAAATAATGGAGAAGCATTATGATTTAATAATGTATATTGCCAATAAACTAGGTTAATGTATAACAATTTCATAATTTATAAGAATTGGAACCATGAGCTCTGATACCAAAATTTGTAACACACCAAATTTTTTTTTTTAAATAATTTAACTCAACCATAGTTGGGTTACAGCCACCCAACACATTTTTATATCAATAATTTTGATATAAAATATTTTATAATTGGCTTCAACTCACACACTATAACATTTCAGATAAATTTTTACCTCCCACATGCCATTAGGCTAAATCACATTTGTCCATCCTTATACTCCCAACAAGTAAACTAAATCACATTTGTCCATCCTTATACTCCCAACAAGTAAAATAAGCAATTTAATCAATTTTCAACACAAGCCAGTTATTTGGCCTTATAATCATGCCATTTTAACCAATCCAAAGTAAACCAAATATTAAAATTACAGTCATCCAAATTGTACCAAAAATAGAAATAGTTTGAAAGGCATGATTACATTTATATATTCATATAATTGACAATAAACAAAAAAAGTCCTAATATTGGCAATATAACACATTATAAATCATAAATTAAATACCCAAAAGAGACAGTGGATCTATACCACTAAGCCTCTGGGACTCCTCCACGTGTCACTCGTGGCTCTTCTCCTGAAAATTGTTAACCACATAATGAGACTCAAAAGTCCCAGTAACCAAAGCCAATTTATGATAGTGTATACAAACAGTTAAGTGTGTGCTTACTAAGTGAGAATTAAAAATAATATAATTCCAACAAATATAAGAAATATTATAATAAACACAAACAACCATCCTTATATCCCTCCATTAACCTCGAGCCGTAGCCCTCACTCGGTACTAAATTACCCGGCCAAAGGTAGATTAGCCCGAGCCCTTACAAACCACCTATTGAGCTCCAATAGGGGCGTACCACGTGGCACATAAATACAACAACAATAGCAAGTCTCCCAACACCTCCCACAATAATTAAACAAATTCATAATAATATTGCACAATTATACAATATTACAAAATTCATAATTTTCTCAATAATCACCCAATTAACAAAAGTAACACTAATCACAAATTAAAAGCATGGTTACCTTGTGGCTTTTTCAATAAATTATTCCTTAAAATTTCTCTCTCACCACAATCTTCACCAGTAATACAATCTACAAATAACATATTATTTATAAATATTAGTTTCAATTTTTGAAACTAATAAAATAATTCTAATAATAGAATTAAAAATATAACATAATTCCTAATCTCAATCTTAATACAAATCTATAGTTAATACTATTAAGTAAATTTTTAACTCCTCTTTTAATTATCAATAAACATTAATAATCTAAAAATCAACTTCTAAACTAATTTCTATTATCAAAATTTTCTTTTTATTTCATAAATTCGTACCTAAAATACTCAAAAATTAAAAATTAAGTCTCTAGCTTAGAATCATAATCCTATAACCATAATAATTCATTTCTCATCCCAAATAATCATCTAAACCTCAATAAATCAACATATATTTTCAGATCTAGTTTAGAATTTGATCCATAAGCCACAGATTCAAAGATCATCAATAAATTTATACTCTAAACATTTATTATACTACTGACAACCTCAAAAATCATATTTATTCAACATAAATTCATCCCTCTTCCAGATCTTAAATTTTCTACCACTACAAACTCAGAAACTAAATAAGAAGGATGACTAAGAAAAATTTTTAGAACACTTACTTAGTCTTGAAAAGCTTAAAATCACACCCTAAATATCCTATTAAAAACTCTTACCTTAAAAATTTAGATATTTCGCACCGGCAACTCGCTTCTCTCCGCCTCAGCTCGCGCGCAGGAATGAATGAGGAAATGAAGGAAGGTGAGTTTTTATAAAAATTCAGTGGGTCCCACATTTTTTTTTAAAATTATTTTCTCTCTCTTCTTCTTCTTTCTTTTTATTATTATTTTATTATTGTTACTGTTGAGGCGGCGGACGAAACGAATTTGCTTTCTTCTTCTTCTTCCTTCTTTTCCTTTCTTTCTTTTTATTATTATAATAATAATAATTTAATAATATTTTATTTTTTATTTATATTATTATTTTTTTTATTTTTATTATTATTATTTTTTTTATACCTTTTTTTTTATAATAATAATTTAATAATACTTTTCAAAATTTTTATTAACCCAAATTAACTATTAAAATTTAAATTGGGATGTTACACTATATATTTTTTAATAAGATAAATATAAATAAAAAACCTCTGAAAGAATTTAATATCTGACAGGAATATGAATTGATTGAATACTTGTTAAAATAATAAATTTACTTATTAATTATTAATGTTTATTTGTTAGCATCCTCTTATAAAATTAAACTACTTTCAAAATCCTATACTAATTTTATCCCTTTTTAATAATTAAAATATTGAATCTATTATATGCCTATCCCACTGTATTATTATGATGTGAAAGTAATTTCTTGTAAGCAATAATAGATTCCGCAATTGTAACCGTAATTTGTAGTTTTCGAATACCCCATCCAATAGCAACAACATTTGGTGATTTTAATTGACTAAATTTAGAAAGCTATCCATGCATCTAAATGCCTCTCACAACTTCAAACTTTTTCATTTCAGATTCACCAGTCACTTGGCTTTATGTCCATCAGAACAGATGATTTACCAACTAATTAGAAAAACATCAGTACACAAAGAATCTTATTAAAACTATTGTTATTAAACTACATTGTGTTGAATTGCACAATTCTTGGTGCATTTACTGTGAAACTCCACATGAGATTCCTGACTATAACCCGGTTCCTGCTTGTGATTGAAGAGAAATATATCATCACTGGAGATATGTTTTCAGACTCTAAAATCCTACATACACACTGGAACGTAATATTCAATATTTACGATATCCTTCATGTCATAGGATGAGGGTCTTCTAGCATCTTGGAACGGGATGCTGAGGCTCTCAAAATCAAAGGGAATTTGCATAACCGTGGGCATGCCTGGCATACTTTACCATTATGTTGCCAACTTATTACTGTTGCTTTCGAACTAAATTTCATTTCATATTGCTTGATGGAATAGTAGAAATAGTGTATCGATGCAATCCTTTAATTTGTTCTAATACGAGCATGTCCTGATTTGTTTGCTTGCATACGACTATGAGGCAGCAATCGCCGTTTTGTGATTTAGTTGTCAATGATCTCAAACGGGACATACTTTGAATGATAACTTGCTAGAAGTGTAGTTTCCTATGTTTTCATAACTGTAGAAGTACATTGCCTCTCGTCATTGTGCTGTGCTTCCTCTACTTTATCTTCCCTTTGTTGTAAGCCTCTACTTCTTCATATCTGACCACACGCTGTTGCAGTTATATTGCATGTTGTTAACTTATATTTACAGTCAATTAAAATTCATTTGTAGGTTTGGTGCTGTTGTGGGATGGAGTGTGAAGGACTAGATACGTTAGGCATAAAGGATTTGCGGGCACTTACCAATGAAACTATGCTCCGTCATTAAGTAGATGACAGCTTTATGATTTCTTGCTTAAATATTCTCCCTATGTAAGGTTTATTATTTTTCAAATGCTGAGAAGATGGTTGGGCTTGAAGCCACCACCCAATTCAAAATCCAGAGGCAGATCCTGATGCGCATATCCTAATTGCTTGCTTTCAGTGATTTCATTTGATATACTGTATCCACTAAATTATAACCTTTGAAAAAGCGCTCTTTTCATTATGATATTTCAAACCGGATTGCCCCTGGTTGTAAAGAACTATGAGGACTAGCTGTTCAGATTTTTGCAAAGTCTTGTGTCTACAGATTGATGGTGAATCTGCCTGACGCTACAAAACAGAGCAAACATACTAGCAAAATAGGACCCGTCAGATGATGTTGATTTGGATGCAATTTCAAGTATGACTGATGGTAATGGATATTCTTTTTCTCCTTCCTACCCTGTAGTTTTAACTTTTAAATTGATGGCATCGCTCTTTGTTAATATTTGAGGAGCTCTTGTACCAATGGGGATATTGGAAAATGAAAAAAAAGGGTATGCACGTATGTATGTTCCTGAGCTGATGAATTACTTCGATTCTTTCTTTCTTTCTTTTTTATTTACATTTTTGGGGGGTCACCTCAATCATCCCATCGCATATATAATTCATCAAACTTGTCGAGAAGAACTTGCCTGGGTTGTTGGGGAATTAATAGACAATAATATTGTCGACCGCAGAAAAAGTGGATCACGCCGACACATACAGGATACAGCTCAAGATAATTCTCAAACGCTCCACAAATATGTAATGGAAGGATCATAACGGCTAGCTCAATGGCCAAGATGACATATGCATACGTATATATTACGTGACTTTCAAGTTTCACCCCATTTATAAAAGCGCGTGTGGATGAGTGAGCAGAGCTGGAGCTGAGTTCTTTGCCAGCGTCGGCAGTGCAATATTGCTTATCTCAAGTCTCGACACATCAGAACGGGACTCGGTCAACACTCAACACCAAGTCTTAAGACATCATATAGGTCAATCATTGACTTGTTGCCACTTGCGACCGCAATCCCATTAATTAATTATTTACTTGTGATTTTTATATTTACTCGTTTAGGATTTTAAACTTCTTTTATTTTTTTTTAATTGAACTTTTGTTCTGGTTTTTGTTTTCTGACATTTATGCCGCTGCTGCAAAATTATACATCTTCTAGATTTCAAGTATTTATCTCCCATTTTGATGTTTTCCATAAATGCTATTTGTATAACCTTTGAATTTTACAATTCCGCATGCAAGCGCTTTCCTTCTCACTTATGCTATATTTTAAAAATGTAAAAACTAAATTTTGTTTTCCTTCCTAACTATACTGTGTATTTTTCTTAATCTAAACATATCCCCTACGCCCCCAAGCACCATAATTTACACTCTCCTTAACTTCACATTTTCTCTTCTTCTTTTGCTAGTCAGCACATCATAAAATGCTTTCCATGAACCAGAATTCGTGCAGTCAAGCTGATCTTGTGATCGCTTAATTCAAATAATCAAATTGACCAAACAACAAACAAACAAATAGAGCTGATATATTTTTAAAAGCAATCGTGAAAAATTTAGAGTTGAGCCTGTACGCCCAGTTTAACTGACTGTCTATTTAAATCCGTTTTAATCAGAGTTCAGTTTTTAAAAATAGAGATTTTTAGGATTGTGTCAAGAAAACTACACATCAATATGACTGCAGGCATTTTGTTTTTTTGTCCATTATATACAGTGAAGAAAAGAATCTCTTGCTATAAAGCAATTGAAGTTCAAGAACATGTCTAGTTTTACAGAGCAGAAAAGAAAGGGTCTGTACGGACAAAACCATTTGATCGAAATTCAATTACTGCATCATGATCACGAATTCTTCAAAGCTAATCTTGCCATCCCCATTCAAATCAAACGGAGCGATCATGGCTTTGCATTCATCGATAGTCTTTGATTCCCCCAATTTGGCAAGCATCCTCTTCAAGCTCTTCGGAGTAATGAAGCCACACCTTTCTGTGTCATACAAGTTGAAAGCTTCTCTCATGTCCTTCAACTTCTCATTCTCTCCTCCTCCTTCTACCAACGCCATCAAGTCCTCCACGCTCAGCAACCCATCACCGTCTGAATCCAAAGCCTCTATCGCCATTTCTGCTTCTTTCTGCAATATCTCTCCGCCCATCAAGCCAATTCGGTGCCGGAGCTCAGACGGAGAAATCTTTCCGTCGCCATCCTCATCGAAATATTTGAGAACTTCAAAATCAGCGGTCCTCTTCATATTAACAGTTAGAGAGTGAACTGATGTACTCATATGTATAACAGTAAAAGGAAATGAGATCGAGTGCGTAAGACTAGGATAAGAATCTGTATTTGGGCGAAAGGAATGATGAATGATAAGAGGAATGGTGGGGAGTGAGGGGTTTTTGTAGTGGATGGATTTGGCGCGTTTTTTTGAGGTTTTTGTCTAACTGGGACGGACAAGCACGTCATGCCCTCGATGATTTTTCCAAAAGAAGATAGACGCAAAGAAAAAGTGAAAACGCGGCGCCCACAAGGTTCTCATACGGTTTAGAATCGGAAATTGGACTGCTATATAGTTTGGTCAATTTTTTATTTTGAAAGGAAAAAAAAAACTGCCATAACGGTCAACGACTCGTGGTCTTTTTCTCTCTGTTTCTTTTCAAAAAAAAAAAAAAGCAAACAAGTACGACAAAATAAGGCTCGTCAAGTTCTTTGTTTAGTGGATCTCGGATGAGACGGTTTGAGAGAAAAAAATCGACAGATCACCATTACGTGGCATTAATTTATAGTGTTTTACTGTGATCAAGCCCCACAGTCCTGTCTAGCTGAATGAATTATTGTTGAGGTACTTATAGATCACTTGCAAAATGAAAACACAGGACACGTAAAAAATGAATTATTGCTGTTTTACCGTGTATGTAGCAATACATGAAATATGTACTGTTGATGGCCAAACAAATGTGACTGAACTTGTACAATGGAATGAGCTACTCGTTTGGCTGAGTGAGCAGAGCTGGAGCTGACACGAGTTCTGCTTCCACGCGTCGGCAAAGCACTATTGCTTATCTCAACACATCAGAATTGGACCCAGTCAACAATCACAACACAGCCTTTCCGCGACGCCACATAGCTTAATTATGTTAACTTGCCAGTCATGATAAATATCACTTTATTAAACGCTAGGTTCAGATTTTTATATTTAATCCATTTGTTCAGAATTCTACTTTTAATAGTTGTTTTCTGTCATTTGAGATAGGGGGCTGCAAAATTACAAACAAGTCTTCTAGATTTCCAGTATTAATTATCTCCAACTTTTGATTTATTTTTTTTTTTGACGAGCACGCAACACTGGCCAAAAAAAAAAAAGACGAGCACACAACACCTTCAATTTTAGAATTCCGCATATACGGGAAAGGGCTTGCATTTCCCTTCTCATTTACATAATAATAAAAATGTCAAAATTAAGTTTTATTTTTCTTCTTAATTATACATACACTTCAGATTTTCTTAATCTAAACATGACAAAATTCACAACTTAAGTGCTAAGAACTTTCTTTTCAAAGTCAAACACATGTCCCTTCCCTCCCACCACAAAATTCCGCTTCCCTTAACTACTCTGCATTTTCTCTTCTTGTTTTACCAGTCAGCTCAAGAGTGTTTTCCACGAGTCAGTTCTCGCAGTCAAGCTGATTTTGTCCCTTTGTTCAAATTCGCAAATAAATAACTAAGCTGATATATTTTTAAAAACGATAATCGTGCAGAATTGCTGTTAATGATGTGACTTCAGGAAAACGAATTGAGCACCAATAAGACTGCAGGCACGTTTAATTTGTGTGCCACATGCATTATACATGGAAGCAGCCAGCCAGCTAGAAAGCAATTGATGAATTTACAGAACATCTAGTTTTACGGAGAAGAACAGGCGGATCTGTATAAACAAGAACCATTTGATCGAAATTCAATTGCAGCATTATGATTATGAACTCTTCAAAGCTAATCTTGACATCCCCATTCAAATCAAACGGAGAGATCATCGCTTTGCACTCTTCGATGGTCTTTGATTCCCCCAACTTGCCAAGCATCCTCTTCAAGCTCTTCGGAGTAATGAAGCCACACCCCTCTGAGTCGTATAAGTTGAAAGCTTCTCTCATGTCCTTCAACTTCTCATCCTCTCTTCCTCCTTCTATCAACACCCTCAAGTCCTCCGTACTCACAAACCCATCACGATCTGAATCTAAAGCCTCCATCGCCATCTCTGCTTCCCCACCCACCAGGCCAAGTCGGTGCCGGAACTCTGATGGAGAAATCTTTCCGTCGCCATCCTAGTCGAAATGTTTAAGAACTTCTTGAAACTCAGGGCTCCTCTTCATCATAATCGGTTAGAGTGAGCTGAGATACTCTTGTGTAGGAGGAAACGAGATTGAGTAAGAATGGGATAAGAATAGATTAGTGTAAGATGATGAGAGATTTGGTGGGGACTGAGATGGCCTTATAGAGGAGGATGGTTTTGGCGCGTTTATGAGGTTTGTCTGTCTGGAAGGAACAAGGACGTCATGGCCTGTATGACTTGTCCAAAAGAAGATAGATGCAAACTAAAATGAGAGAACGCGGCGCCCACAAGCTTCTAATACAGTCCAGAATTAGAATTAGATTCGGCAACAAACCAATCAAAGACCTCTATATTAATAAAGGATTGTTTATCGTCAAATGGATATTTATCGTCAAAATTCATTTAAATTAATAGTAATAAATTTATTTTTTATTTGAATTTTGACAACTAATTTTTAACTAATATAAAATTTTTTTTGAAAGAATTATCTATATAATTTTACCAAAAAATTAAAAATGCGCTTTGTAATTATGCCATGTCTCAAATTTTTTTATTTTAAATTATTGACTTTCACAAAAAAAAAAAGATATTTTGATATCTTAAAATCTTGAAATGGCAAAGTTTAATTTTTTTTAAAAAAATTTAAATGAAAACATTGAAATTACATTTTTTTTGAAAAATTATAAAAAAAATAAAACTGTATCATTTCATAACTTCAAGATATCAAAACATATATACCTTATTTTTTATAAAGTTAATGATACAAAGAAATAAAATGAAGCTAAAAAGACAAGACATGACAAAAATTATCAAAGAAAGATATATTAGAGGCCTCTAATTTAAAAATTACATATCAATTCGCATGCAGCCATGTTTCCACATATAGAGAATTGCAGAAGTTAGAAAGAATTTGAATTTATACAAATCAATCGGTATTATTACAAGATATAAACGGAACTCTGCTAATTAGTTATGTACAAAATAGACTGATCGATGTGAGAGCTTTTGTCCGTGTAAAATAAAACAAAATAAGTGATGATTTCGTTGGGGTTGGATATGTATTTCCAATTGTACTGATGCACGACAACAATCTGCTAGTTTGTGAATCAGTAGAGAAGATCTCAAGTATCACTGCATCATCACAACGAATTCGTCAAAGCTAATCAAGCCATCACCATTCAAATCAAACTGGGTGATCATCACTTTGCACTCATCAATGGTCTTTGATTCCCCCAACTTGCTAAGCATCCTCTTCAAGCTCTTCGGAGTTATGAACCCACACCCTTCTGTGTCGTATAAGTTGAAAGCTTCTCTCATGTCCTTCAACTTCTCATCCTCTCCCCCTCCTTCCATCAACGCCATGAAATCCTCCAAACTCAGCAACCCATCGCCGTCTGAATCCAAAGCCTCCATCGCCATTTCCGCTTCTTTCTGCAATATCTCCCCGCCCATCAGCCCAAGTCGGTGCCGGAGCTCCGATGCTGAAATCTTCCCGTCACCGTCTTCATCAAAGTATCCAAGAACACGCTCAAACTCAACGGCCCTCTTCATATTCCAAGGTGAATCTACAAATAACTCAAACAAATTGCACTCTTGTGTGCAAACAGATGAATTTGTTTGTGAATGATAATGGCCATGGGAGAGATAGCGTTTTTATACATGTATTGGACTGGTTGAGACGATGTTGCTGGGGTCGTTAAGGAATCATGGGCGTCGACGCGGCGAGGAAGAGAAGACGAAGGACCACGAGGCGAAGTTGCTGGGTTATTCGAGAATTAATATTGAACAGGAGCGTCATGCCGTGTGTAGCTTTTTCTATTGGTATCACGGCATTGAAGCGGTGGAAGAAAACGTGGGTAACGCCGACTTAACACGAGATTCTCAAAGTCCTCGAATTTGTAAAACGGTCAACGTCTCGTGAAATGTTTGTTATATACTGTACATCTCAAATTATAAAATATTTTAAAATAAAATTTTATATATTAATAAATTTTTTTAAATATATTTAATAATTTTATCTTTTTAAAATAAAAATAAAATTTTTTTAAAAATATTTATTATTTAATATATTAAAAATAGAAGGGACGAAAATTAATTATAAAGAGAAAAAATAATAATAAAATTGACACATTTAATAAAATATTAATTTATTTAAAATGTTTTATATTTTAAATATAAAAATTTTTTAAAATGTCTTATAATTTAATATAGAGGAAGTAAAATGAAAGGCTTCCAACCCATCAATAATCAATACGTGTCATTAAAATATATAAATGTATATAGGTATATTCAAAGTATAGTCATTCATAAAGTATTTAACAAGTACAAGATTAAAGAGATAATTCATTATTAAAAAAAATAATGTCACTCCATAAAAAACTGATGTGTCAGGTGGGATTATTTCATAGCACTTCATTCAATCTCTTGTCAATTAAAACTCTTCATTAGTTGTTCAATCTCTCAATAAAAATATTAATACAATAAGTATAAATTTAAGGAGAGCTATTTTAAAAAGCTAGCATGGCGGGTGAGGAAGTTTCTTATTCTTATGAATCTCATATTTGTAAGGCTCACCGAGAGACAACACAGGCGCGTGACTTGGCCCAAAAGGAAACGCTGGCGCGGCACAGCCATTACACGAAGTCTGATTCTGAAGAGTCCCAGAGACCAGGAAGCGTCTCACGACCAAACTTTGTCCTGCATTCTCAAATGAGAATTTAAAAACAAAAAAAAATTGAGAGAAGTTGGTCCTCTATTCCAAATATAAACATTTCCATCTAACACACACATGTGAAGATAAAATAGCTGTATAGATAGTTGCTATTTAATTTTTGTTAACTTTATTCTTCTTTAAATATATAGATAAATCATCTTTCTTATATATAGTAAAATATTAAAACTACTGTTCATGGAACAGTGAAATTATCAGTACCATGAATCCACCGTTTCCTTAAAAAAAAAAATCAATTTTTTTTCAAATTTTTTGTTATGCCTTTCTTTATTTTTTTACAAAACTAAAACATGTTAGACTGTGACAACTAATATTTAAAAAATAATTTTATATTATGTTTTTAAGATATCATATTAACATATTTTATATTTATATAATTTTTAAATTATCTTCTAATTTTTTAATAAGTAATAAGTTTAAAAATAAAATAAGGTGTCTATGTTTTTAATATGCACACAAGTAAAAAAAATATTGTAAGAAAATAACAAGCTTTTTATTTGTTCATAAGTAATTTTCTATTGGAGGTAAATTAGATAATCATATTTAAAATACAATTGGATGGATACCTTTACAATAAAAATTTAAACCTTAATTTACCATGTTATTGAGATATTAACCCTTTCTATTATCCCTAACTCGCAATCAGGAAAAAAATAAAATTTATTATTAAAATAACTTATCAAACATTTATCATATGGATAATAAATCTTATTGGCGGCATTTTTTTCAAGGTGTAATTTTTTTCACATTTTTTGTATGTTCATAATATTTTTCACCTTGTTTAAAAAAATTAAAGCATACCTAATCATAACTATTAACATTTAATAAAAATTTTATATTATATTTTTATAATATCATTTTAACATATTTTTTATAAGATCTATTCTATTATTTTTATTAAATTGTTATAATCATATTTTATGCAATCTAAGATGGTGAAATTTGCTAAAGAAAAAAAATCAAAACAATTATAACGTGTTATGACCAACTAAAAATAGACATTATTCTTTATAAAAAATAGACAATATATTGAATAAAATACGGGACACACATTTTATCAAGCCAGAACTTCACATAAAGATACATGTTCATATAAAATAATGTTCAAAAACAAATAAAAATTAAGTGAATTTCTCCCAAACCCATTGCAACACGTGGGCCATTTTCTAGTGTTACTAAAGGGAGTAAATAATTTTTGATATATTCTTGAGGGAATTTTTTTAAAAAAAATTAATCACTCGTAGAAGTCTATAAAATGCGTTTTGTATTGAAACTCTGAGATTTGCCAAACAAGATTTATATTTTGAATGAAATGGAAGTAGTTTTTATTCATTTAGGTAAGAATTAAAAAAAAATCATGTGATAGGATTTTTTTAACTAGATTGTTTTTGAGACTTTAAAATTAGGATTATGACACTGTGACTTTCCCTTCATATTGGAATGATCAACGCTATGATGATTTATTAAAAAAGAATACCCGTGCAATATATTTTTTTAACGAAATACCAAAGTAATGAATGCTGTAAGAGTCAGCCCATTCTATGAAAAGAAAAAACGGACAACGCGGTGCACACAGGCTTCGCAGGGGGCGAATTTCTCTCCACTTTTTTTCGGGAGAATCTCATTTAGGACTTTTAAAGAGAAAAAACTACACTTAAGACCCAATATATGTTGAAATTATTCTATAAACCTAACAGCTATTTTTGCAAATATATTTTAAAGAGAAAAGATACAGTTATGAGAAAAGATAACAAGTACAAATTTATGTTTTTGTAATTACATATTCATGAATTTACAATTTTAAATTCACATATTAATAATTAATTATTCATTAGAAATAAAATTTTTATTTAAGTTGACATGTTTAACTTGACTAACTCAATAAATTTATAACTTACAACTTAAAGTTTAAATATTCACAAATACAAATTCATTCATTCACAAGTTAAAATTTAAAATTTATGACCTTATATATTCAAAACAAGTTTATTGTAATAACAAATTTAAATTCTTAGAATCACACGTTTCATCAATTCACAATTTCATGTTTACATATTAACAAATAACTGTTCATTGATAATGAGACTTTTGTTCAAGATTGACAAGTTAATCTTGACCAAATTAATGAATTTACAATTTAAAGTTTAAATATTCACAAGTAAAAGTTCATTTATTTCCAAATCAAAGTACAAAATTTGTAATTTTATATATTTAAAATTAAAGTTCATCATGATAGCAAGTTTAAATTTTTATAATTAAATGTTTATAAATTTACAACTTTAAGTTTACATATTAACAAATAATTGTTCATTGGAAGTAAACATGAAGTTCTTTCTTTCTCGTTAAGAGCAATTATGTCTTTTTTTTCTAAAATATATTTGCAAAAAAAAAACTCTTAAATTTGCAGAATAATTTTAAAATGTATTGGACTTTTTTTCTCTTTTAGAAGCCCTAAATAAAATTCACCCGTTTTTTCTCTCAACTATCTGTTAAATTAAATTTTACTTTTAAAAATTGTCAAATTTAAATCATCAAATACAATTTAACAGTCCAAAGCTATAGTGATCCCTTCTCTACTCTCAGAAAGCCATCTCGTTTCACAAACGGTCCTGAACTTCAACGGCCATAACCTTCAAGTACGACTCTAGAAATTTTGGACTTGGAAGCATAAAACGTTCTTCTACGTCAGTTTACGAATAAAAAACAATCAGCAAAATTCATGCCATTAAGCATAAGTAAAAGAAACTCGAAACAGAAGACAACTGATGGGGACCCAGAAACCACCTGAGAACCCATTCTTCTGAAGAAGCCTGCTTCATCTCCATGTCTATGGCAGCGGACCAAGTCAGTTTTCTCGCCCCCATATGCAAGCCTCATTTCAATTCTACGGCTCCAAACGAAATATTAGAACAAGAATAAAGAAAATGCAGAGAGGGTTGGGCTAGGGACCAAAACGAAAAGCTGATTTGCAGTTAACTTCATTGTACAGAATTTAGTTGCATGCATCACTAAGATGCAACTGTAAAGTACTAAATGACAAACATAAGATTGATTTGATCAGGTAGTTGGCAATTATTAATACGAAAGAAAGTACAATCTGGTTCCTTCTGCAGGCTCTGCGCATACTGGTTTTGCATTTGAATTGTGCAGGTGCATTCTGGAACCATAATCATTTCAAGGGTTCTGTTCAATGATTCTCATGTTTGTTTTGCGTCCACAGGAAACCATGGCAATCCTGATTGAGCGCACTGTTTCATATCAGGCATTGGAACAATAGGTCCGAGAAAGATGCGCCACAAATCAAGTATTATTGTGACAAGCATGGCAGCACCCAAAGCATCAACAGCCACTCTGCCCAAGTCCCATTTATTTCCAGATTTTTCATCGATCCTGCGCATCACATGAATCATCATCCGGAAGATTAGTGTAACATTGACACAGTTCCATTTCATATGTTTGGGTCTGCACATATTCAGAGACGTGCGTACGTTTAATTAATAACTAGGTTAAAACTCACCTTAGAAACATGGGGAAGCTTACAATAAAGTAGATGGCATAAAACAAAGATCCAACTTTGTACATAGCAGCGCGATCCACAAATTGATAGTAGGGGAACTGCACGCAATACCATTTATAAATCGTCCTCATAAATAGGCAGTTTGTATTGGAAGTCAACTACAGTGCTAAGCATTAGACTCATCAATGTAAAGAGAGAATTTTACATGACAACATCAACATAAGTTGCGGTAAACAAACGAATTGAAAGGCAGCGTGTATAAAAAATGCAAGTCCTACAGTGAAGACCATCAATCTCTTGTCCACAGAAGAGATAAGCAATAACATCTAAGGACTTCTATACATTGTTGAAGATATGGGGCCTAGGCACATGCTTCTTCCACATTACTGTTAAGCACGTAAAAAAATATTGTTTAAAGGTTGAAAAAAAAAAAAATTGACGTAAAGATAGTACTTTTTACTTAAAATGTAAAAAGAGTGCTTAATGATCATTTTGGCATCTAACCATATCTAGAATTTTGCGCTTTGCATGATTAAAATATAAAATCAGGCTTAGGCATGATACGCATTTGACATCCAGAATGTTTCTCTAAGATGCCAAATCTTGAGACACCAATAAGACAAGTATAAGATGGTTTAGCAACTACAACAAAGTATGTATCATAATAATCCAAGGATTCTGAGATGAGGAAACAATATATCCTCATTAAATGAGAAGATTTTAAATTAAAAGGTGAGGAAAAATGTCTAAGATGGTTTGACTTGTACAATTAAGACATTAAGTTGCTGTCAGCAAAAGCAGGAAAACTCAAAGTAGCAAAACAAAGAGAAGAAGAAGAAAGAAGAAAAAATGAGTAACAAAGTTATCCCTACAACTAATAAAGTACTAGGAAACAAACCATTGTCAAAAGTTTAATAAAAAGTGAGATCCTAAATGTATCCGTCTGAATAGCCAAAACAACCCATGAGAATTATCCCCAAAAAAAGCATTATGCAAATATTACTGAACTTGAACATTTGAGTTGAGCTTTATAGTGTGTGTGTGTGTGTGTGTCTCTCTCTCTCTCTCTCTCTCCACCTTTGGTGACTAATATATGCTTTATTATAAAAAAAAACATTAACGACTTGAATAACAAAGAACAAGGAATATATAGATGCTTAAGATACCTCAAAATCAAGTCGAGCAGATATTGAAAATCTTAAAAACCATGCATGAAACATAAATTTTGTTTATCCAACAACAAGCATAATGGTTTGCTACAACATACATTGGAAATAGCTAATGTTCCAGGTAGGCTATAAAATATGATAGAGCAAGAATCCATGCAGCCTCTGCAGCCCATCTTATTTTTTCAGGCAAATCAGCAGTAAAATTCCTTAGTCTGCGCAGTGTCATGTTTGATGCAACATGATAAAATAAGAAGCAGACATGAGTGAGCAGAAAAGTTGTGTGAGGTACCTGTCACCACCAAATACATAGATCAATTAATAGAAGAGTATATGGTCTAACTAAAAGAAAGTTTGTTGCCCTTAGCTTACATTGTTCATTCTCCACGATGGGAAGGTATAAGATGCGCCCAGAACTGAAAAAAAATAATGAGTCCAAAAGTAATTTCCAACATAACTGAAGATTATTATCCAGATACTAGCCTGCCAGCATTGCATAAAACATGTTAGGCCGAGCATAATCTAACCAGTTAAAAACAAATAAGATATCTGACTGGATGGGCCCACAGGCCAAAATAACATAAAGAGTAGTAAGTAAAATTTGGAATATGCATGCAACCCCACATAAACACTTGCCTTGACCCAATAACGGTCCTTCCAAGACAGGCTTGTATCAGCCTGCAAAAAATTGGGACGATGGATTTATAAATAAAAATAGTGATTTGAATGTCAAGGTCAGCTGTGCTGAAATGCTTCCATTATGTGTGGTAGGAAGGACAGAAGGTGATAAGGGATGAGGTAATCTCAACATACCTTCCCTACAAACAGCATTGGTAGCAAGAAAGAAGGAACTGCTGACACCAACCCAACAAGCAAATACTCCAACTCTGTGAAGCACTGCCGATTACCAACATTTTTGACCATCAGATGCACAAAAACATATAAGTAAAATTTTTTTTTATTTTAAAAAAATGAAGCAAAGGAAGTAATACTGCTAAGAAAAAAAAAAAGGATATCATCAAAGGTATCTCCATAATTCATCATACATAAATAGATCGATATAAACAGACACATTAATGTAATTGAGCTTCCTAATACCTAAATTTCAATGGTACCCAAGCCTCGTGTGCACGAAAACGACCACTAAAACATAACACAGCAAGATGTCAGTGGTGTATGCTTACGTTGTTCCCAAAATTTCAGTGTTAACCAAACATTCGCACACATCTAGCAAATACCTTCAAACTTTCTGAAGATTACAATGATACAGTCCACATACGTCCAATACAGCATAAAATTGATTTCTGAGAATATCTTATGAGCGAAAAGAATCTCAGGTCACTTTGCATTTGATAGTCCCCAAAACAAGAAACTGCGATTGCGGGTTCATAAACTAGAACTGTAGTAATTCAAATAAGATTGCTTAAAAATGGTCCAAAAAATGATTATTCAATAACCAGAGATTTTTCGGATAAATCAGATAATAGGTAGCACAATTTTCAACAATGCAGCAATACAGGACATGAGCGTAAAATAACGGTGAATTAGAAAGTCGACAGCCTAGATGAACCACTATAAATCGACGCGTTTCATTGTCAGCGATGCCTTGTTAAACAAAAGGGCATTTGAAAGAAGCACACCTCGTAAAGATTGAAGGGAACGACAATTCCGAGACAAAGAGTAAGCCAGACTGGAGTGTAGAGAAGGAAAAACAGCTCTCCCCATCGTTTGCTCGGATTAGGAGCAAGCCACAAGCTCGGCGAAGCAGAAGATGACTTGGGGGAACCTGCGCATTTGCCAAACACAGTTCTACGCAAATTAATCCAATTATAGGACTGAAAAAATGAAATACGAATAGTTCAAATCTTCGAGAGGACGGTTTGAAATGGCATTACCGCCCATTTCGTTATTCCGATCTCAGTTCACCGGTGACCGGAGATACGGACGCGGCTGGCACTCGCAGAATATTTGGTGTTGGTGGCGCAAGAGTGAGGCTGAAAGGAAATCCACTCTGTACTGTAAGTGAACTCCGAGCCTGATGCATCGGCTACGACCTTACGGCTTCACATCTTACGATGCCGCCAAATGCATAAATGATATGGAATTCCGCTTTTGCCCAAATGCACGGGAGTCCTTTGGAATTGCAAATGGAAATGAAAATACAAATAAAAAGATGTAAATTTAATTTGTTAATAAATTGATTTTATTTAATTTTTAAGTCAATTTTATATTTATTTTTTTATAGTTTTCCTCTTGAAAAAAAAAAATTACCGTTTAAAATTAAAAGAAATAATAGTTCATTTTTTTCCGGAGCAATATTAACGGGCGTTTTTCCAAGTTTGCCCAGTACGGTGAAGAGTTCCTTTATTTTTTTAGACAGCTTTGTTAATAATTGGTGGTACACTTTTTAAATTTTCGTGGCCCCCGTGAATGGGAACCTTTTTTATTATTATTATTATTATTATTATTATTTTGCCCGACGTAAATGGGAGCTTGGATGCGAGTGGCTTTGTTTTTTCAGCCAGCGTCATGCGAGAGAACTGTAGAAACCGGTCCAACAAAATACAGCATTTTATGTTGTGATGTTTTTTGGGTGCTTATTTAAATTATTTAATTATATGATGTTTGAAATTTCATTCTCAATCATACGATTTGTTACCAAAAAAATCATATAATTTTTATTATTCATAGCCTGATCAAAATAAAATAAATATCTTTAATCAATGATCCACGCCCTAGTAAGAGACCACAACTTTTTGAAAAGATACTTTCGTCCAGAAAAAATTCAAAAAATGAAAACCATTACACAATTTTTCAATCTTATTTTAACATGCATATTTTTTTTTTAATCAACAAACCAAACATATCTCAGACGGATACATTTTGTTGGGCCGAAGAGAAGATTAGGCTGACCAGGTAAAATTTTTGAGCTCTGATGTGATTTGAAAGCCCTTTCTTTTTTAACCCCAAAAAACAGAAAGGCCTTTGCTTTAGTCATTTTTATAAAGAAAAACTAACCTGTCAATCCCTGTGATTCTACTAGATTTTGAATCAGGCTCTTTTATTTATTTTTTTTCCTTTTTATTAGATACTCTTTCATAAAAGCTGAAAAACCTAGTCCTTCTGACAATGAAATTCTAGACGATGTTAATACATGTTGACAGAAGATGATGTGGAAATGCGGGATTGAAAAGGCAAACAGAAATGTGGCCAAAGTCGCTCTCTCTCTCTCTCTCTCTCTCTCTCTCTCTCTCTCTCATACTCTCAGGACTGTCTCTCTTCTCCTTGCTTCTCTTCCACCCTTTTCTCCATCTTTCAATCCTTCCTTCACGCTTCTATCTTCCCCTTGTACTTCTTTCTATCTCATAGTAATTATGTTTCATTGCTTTTACATTATGCTAAGTCTAACGAGCTCAAGAGCCTCTGGGGAGAGGATGGGAAGATTATGCAAGGTCTAATAATTAACTTATGTTCATTTCATAGTAATCAATGTCTGATGTCTATTGCTATTGAGTTTAGAGACAAGTTAATGATAGAGAGACAATCAGAGTGTTGAAAATGCAAAGAGATACTAGACATAAAAAAAAAGAAAATCATCGCAATGGCTATAGCATGCTGAACCCAATTCCCACCTAATATTGTCCTGAATCCACATGAATACAAAAGCAAAACCAGTTGAAGGAGCCCTTTTTTCCTTCTCAGCATCTTCGACATGGTCGAATTGGTTAGTTCCAAAGACGAGAGAGAGAGAGCCAAGAGCTTTTATATTGGGAAAGAGTGAGAGAAGGATTAACGGCACATGTAATATTATTGGTGAAGGGACTTTCCTCTATCAGAGTCAATTATGGGGATCCAATAAAAAGGAAAAAAATTAAGAGAACCTAATGCAAAATCTGATAAAACTAAAAGGGCTAACAAATTAATTTTTCCTTTTTATTAAGAGACTTCTTTTTATGAGGGTACTTGTGGTTGTGAGCTTCAGATTCTGCTTGTTTAGCCGGATAATTTTTCCATGTAACTTTTTGTTGTCTTTAGACCACGATGATTGGGTAAACATTATTCCAAACGAAATATTTCAACAAGAATAAAGAAAAAGCACAAGCATAGGAACAAAAAAAAAACTGTAGAAAGGGTTGGGCTAGGTAGGGATCGAAAAATGATTTGCTATTAACTTTATTATACATAATTTATTTACATGCATTCATCACACCTAGATGCAACTGTAAAGCACTAAATGACAAACACAATAGTGGTCCCTTCTACAAGTTCTAGACATACTAGTTTTGCAAGTGCATTTTGGAACTATAATCATTTTAAGGGTCTTATTCAAGTCATCTTTATGTTTGATTTCCATCCAAAGCAAGCCATGGCAATCTTGATTGAGGGCATTGTTTTCTATTAGGCATTGGAATTATAGGCCTAAGGAAGATACGCCACAAATCAAGTATTATTGTGACCAGCATGGCAGCTGGCCCTAAAGCATCAATAGCCACTCTGCTCAAGTCCCATTTATTTTTAAATTTTTCATCAATCCTACATAATCCAAAACATCATCAAGAAGATTAGAATGCAAACAGAATAAATGGATAAAAACAACCATTCAAATATATTATATATTGAAATTTATTGTATTCATTAAACATTATTAAAATATTTATTAATTATTATTAAGACCGTCTATATACCATGAACCTTGTGAATAATTGAAAACGGCACTTTTTTTATCTCATTTACTTCTTTCTTTACTTCTTTCAATAGCAAGAAGACAAACCACATCAATTCAAATTCACTTGTGCACTTAATATCCTAGCAGACACATATACTTCTATTTCATATGTTTGGGTCAGCACACTCAAATAGTGCATACATTTAACTAACTATTAGGTTAAAACTCACCTTAGAAACATAAGGAAGCTTATGATAAAGTAGAGAGAATAAAACAAAGATCCAACTTTGTACATAGCCTCACGATCCACGAATTGATAGTAAGGGACCTGTATGCAATACCATTTACAAATCATCCTCATAAATAAGCAATTTGCATTGGAAGTCAACTATATTACTAAGCATGAGATTTAGATTTTTAGCAAATGTTACAATAAAACAAACTAATTGAAAGAAGGCATATAACAGTGCAAGATCTACAATAAAGACTGTCAACCTCTTGTCCACAAAAGAGACAAAGCAATGACAGAACCTTTCCATGCATTGCTTTAATAAAGTAACAAAATGGTAATGAATTTTTTGGAGAACAATTCATGAATGGAAAAAATGGCTTCTAATGATATCTCAATGTAAGAGAGTGCCCTTTTTTAGTACAAAATGTAAAAAAAAAAAAGAGCACTTAAATTGATCATTTTGGGATCTAAGCGCGTTTAGATTTTTACACCTTGCATGATCAAAATATAAAACCAGGCCAGGGGGTAATAAGCATTTGACATCCAAAATGTGTTGCTCTGAGATGCAAAGTTTTGAGACACCAACAAGATAGGTACAATATGGTTTGATAGCTACGAGAAGTGTGTACCATAAAATCTAAGGATTTTGAGATGAGAAATCAAAACATTCACTTTAAAATGAGGAGCTTTTGAATTAAAAGATAAGGAAGAAATGCTGGAGAAGGTTTGACTTGTATAATAAAAACACTAAGTTGCAGCGAGCAAAAGCAGGAAAACTTTAAGTAAGAAAAAAATTAAAAAAGAAAAAGAAAAATGAGTAACAAGATATGTCTAAAAGTAATGAAATACAAGAAACTAGGAGAATATATAAATGCTAATATATCTCGAAATCATGTCTAGCTGTTATTGAAGACATCAAAAACCATATGTGAAACACTAAGTCTTGGTCATCCAATGACAAGCGTAATGGTTTTTTACTACATACATCAAAAATAGCTAATGTCTTCAGGTAGGCTATAAAATAAGACAGAGCAAGAATCCAAGCAGCCTCAAAAGCCCATATAATTTTTTTGGGCAAATTAGGAGTAAAATTCCTTAGTCTACGCAGTATCATGTTTGATGCAACATGATAAAATAAGAAGCAAACATGAGTGAGCAGAAAAGTTGCGTGAGGTACCTGTCACCACCAAATAAAAATATAGAGTAATTAATAGAACATTATATATATGGTCTTACTAAAATAAAGTTTATTGCCCTTAGCTTACATTGTTCATTTTCCATGATGGGAAGGTATAAGATGCACCTAAAATCAAAAAGAAATAATGGGTACAAAAATAGTTTTCAGCATAACTAAAGATTATTATCTAAAGACTAGCTTGCTAGCATTGCATGAAACATATTAGGCTAAGGATGAACTAACTGGATTGACTCACAAGCCTAAAATAAGGTAATGAGTATTAAGTAAAACTATTTTCGTGAAAGGAAAAATACACAAAGTAAAAATATAAACAGCACATTAATTTAAATGTTATAAAATTCATAAATATTTGGAATATGCATGCTATCCCACATAAACACTTGCCTTGACCCAATAACGGTCCTTTCAAGATAAGCTTTTATCAACCTATAAAAAAATTGAGATAGTGAATTTTAAAATAGTTAAAAAAATTTAATTTGAATGTCAAAGTCGAGTGTACTCAACGTACCTTTCCTACAAACAGTATTGGTATCAAGAAAGAAGGAACTGCTGAAATTAACCTAATGAGTAAATACTCTAACTCTGTGAAGCGCTGCTGATTACCACTATCTTTTCAACATCAAATGCACATATAAACATAGATGTAAAATTATTTGTTTTCATTAAAAGATGAGGGAAAAGCAAAAATGCTGCTAACAAAAAGACAAAAGGATATCACCGAAGAATGTATCTCTATAGTTTATTATACATAAATAGATATAAACGTATTCATTGATGTCATTGAGCTTCCTAATTCAATGACATGGTCCAAATATGTCTAATACAATAGAAACTTTTATTTCTCGGGATAGCTTATCAGTAAAAAAGAATATCAATTCTCAAGTAATTTTGCACTTGATAGTCCCCTTTATATTAAAAAAGTGGTACAAGTTAGTTGGACAAGCAGGATATATTATACTAGAGTGGATCGAATTTAT